CCCCCCCCCCCCCCCCCCCACTCACAGTGTTGGTGAAGCAACAACAATCCAAGAAACGTGACAGTACTATCACTAGTAGTAACGAGTACACATCATCAACTACAACAAGCCCGGGAAAAGAAAGAATCTATATACCATCTATTTTATAGTGCGGAGTAGTGTAATAGTGTGTGTTTTAAGAACAAAGAGCTGCCCGCGGAGATCTTCTAGACTCAAACCAACCGTGGCTGGCTGGCGAAATGCATAAAAGAAGGGGTCTTATTTTGACCAGGCAACCGAATCTATCTCGGTTTGAGCAGCTCTGTACAGCTCTAGTCTCTTGGCTAAGGACACACGCCTCTGCATTATAGTTGGGTCCTCATCCAACAGCTTACCCAGCTGATTCCCCTGCAACCACACATCCAATGCTTATGATATAGTCATATATATTAATACTCGACTAGATCACCCGCACACATTAAAGAAACCCAGATGAAGTATATATTTTTTCTTGCCTCCTTTTTGCCCAGCTCGGCAAAGAAGTGGTCAAGCAAGCTACGCTTTGCTTCTCGCACTTGACAGTAAACAATGGACTTAGGAATTGAGTTCCTCAAACTTGCACAAACCATATTCACATAAGACAGCACATTTGATCCTGTTGAGCATGCACTAATCCAGTTTGTTATTTGCAGCAAAACAAAAATTTAAGTGAATGGAAATGCTTGGTAAGGTCGAGAGTCTCACCAATTCTCCGCAGGTAAGAATCATTATATCTATCGAAAATTGAATGTGTTGGATTTCCACCCTTCTCAATATCCTGAGGCAGCTTCCGGAAGAAATCCACAGTGAGGTAACTACACTCCATCTCAACAAGCTGTAAAGTTGCTTTCTTGCTTTCATCCCTCATTCTTTCCAGCGATTCAACAGCTGCGTTACTCACCTCTACTCTAAGAGATGGGTACTGCTTTAGCTCCTGCAAGCACATTATTTTCTCCTTCAAATCTCACCTCACAATAGGCTCTCTTGTCAAGGTTCCCTATCAGTGCATAAATATAAAACAATAAGAGGGATAAACTTGCCGAGGTCTCACTAATCGCCTTGTGAACAAGATCCTTCAGTATAGCATGAACCTAAAACATTGTTTCAACACAAGTATTTTGTTAGTTCAACCTTACAAGCTACAACCGCCACCATGAAACTGACTCAAAGGGGGTGGGGGACCAGAATCATCATATGCATACCGCGTCCACAGCAGCCTCAGCAGGACCCTTGATGCTGATCACTGAAGATTCAATGAGGCGTCGATATCCTTGTTCGGGAGCAATCAAATGTGGTTGATAACCATCAGCTTCAGTTATAAGCTTCCGGACATTTTCCATGGAAAGATGCTTGTCAAATTGCAATCGTTTCAACGCAGCAGGGAGTTGGTTATCGAATACATTATACACTTTGTCACCCCCTGGTCGGCTGCAAATTAGGTTGAAAACGATCACACATAATGCATGCAGTGTGCATGTACGATGAACGGATTCTCTATAGACAAGCAAAACTTACACTCCGTCCAGGTGTTCTTTGAAATTTCCATCAAAAAAGCGGCAAATTTCCATGATCATATATAGTTTTCCCTGAAATTTTGTGTGGAAGGGAAGGACCGAAGGATGTAATTAAAAACTTCATAGAGCATGTACAAAATAAGCAAAATATAATTAAAGCATTTAAATGAAAAAAATAGCTGCATTTAAAAATATACATAGGATTTGGGTAAATTCGGGCTGCATTATTTTGCCAGACAAAACAAGACCCCGCCCCCCAACAACCATAAAAATATATATACTACTCTGAAATAAACTTACTCCAGCATCAGTTGCAATAGGCTTCCCAAGACGGCTCAACTCCATTTCTAGATCAATGATATTTTTGTTGATAAGAGACTGGAGACCAGGGATGCGAGACTTGATGACAGACTCCAAATGCTAAACATTTTACACAATTAAAAAGGTTAGGATGCTCATGGAAAACTAGAAAATAGTTCTAGGTAAAACAAGATTTCTCCCAGGACATGCAGGCGCCTACATGAAGTAAACACGAAAAAAAATGCTTACCTTAGACAAAACTTTCCCAAGGTGTTCTGAGCCCATTCTATGAGCAAGATGCTTGTATTCAGGGGTGCTTGAAAAATATTCTCGCTCTCTACGCCTAGCAGCTATCATGTCGACATTTTTGTTTATATCAGCTTGGGAACGATTAACAACACCAATCCATGGATGTGGTAGCCGGTATGCTCTTCCTTCCAATATCTGAATATCCATGAAAAAGAATCAAAACGAAGAATTATACACAGTACCTTCTTGACAATAAGAAACAAGCAAAACACCATATTCTGTATTTCAACACAATCCATTAATGAAGAAAAGCAAGAAAGGGTATACCCAATTGGTGAGGACAGAACTTCTAAAATGACCATGTTTATAAAAAAACTAATAGATTTTGCACTTAAAACATGATGTTTTCAAAATATGTAATCTACTCTAGAAGGTAAGGGCTTGTTTGGTCTGCAACAAGAGATATTTTTGTTTATCTAAAATATTCAGCATATATAAACATTTTTTTCAATAAACTCTAGCTCATTCAAACATATACTAGTAGCTTAGTACAGAAACTTGCCTCAACTGCATCAGTACCCTTGTCCATAAGATCAATTTTTGTCAGAACTCCAAATGTCCTCTCCCCTGCAATGTTGAGAATGAAAATATTACATAATCATAATCATTTGAGAGAAAAGACACCACTACACACACACACAAAAAGGAGATATTTGTTATCATCAAGAAAAATACAAACACCCCAGTTAGGTCCCACAAATGACTCAACAACGAGAAGTCCAATAAAATCTCGGAAACCGTAGGGATCCCACATGTGGGTCACCAAAAAAATAACAAAAATCAATACATGTCACATTCTTAAAATATACTCTTGTTTCATTAATTTTCTTCCTATTTTCACTTGGTGCACTTATTTAGAAAGTAAAATTGTATTCTTGGTATTTATTTAAAAAGGAAACATATAATATCAATAACACAATTCTTTCCTTAACGATGAACATGAAGAAATTTTGGTCAAATTAAAAAAAAAATTATGGGATAGAGAGAGTACTTGAGACTTCATACACTCCTATCACATTAATTTTGTTCAAGCTTTGACTTGACACACTTTTTTTGAAAGTAATTGTATTATTGATGTTTGTTTAGAAAGGAAATAAACAATATCAACCTCGCAACTCTTTCCTTAAAAAGAAACATGACCCAAGAAGAAAACCGAGAAAAAAATTATGGGACACAGAGAGTACTTAATACAATGTCACAACAACCAAATACCTTACCCTTTGGGTCTACTTCACGAGAAATCTTTATTGCATCTGAAGTGGCCAAATCTTGGTTGGCAGGAGAAATTGCCAAAATTATACAATTTGGCTGCAATGCCAATGGAGGATATGTAAATCAAATACCATCTTCCACAATTGATTAAAATTTCAAAAATAATATCTGACTAACTATTTTTAGCATTTCAGAGACATATGCATTGAAAATACGTAAATAAATAAAATGGAGGGAATCAATAACAACAATAGTTTGAGTAAAATATTTTAACATAAATTTACCTTCTCGATGTAAGAGCGGACCATATTTTCAATGTCATGCACAACGCTTTCAGGTTGACCATCTATAAGAGTTTGATGGAAGAAGACATTCAATATACATACAAATAAGATAAGAACAAAATCAATATTTCAAAGTCTCAAACAAATAGGAGCCTAGGAATCCATTGACTCACCAACAGCAACCTTTGTAAGACCAGGAAGATCAATCAATGTCAAGTTCACAACTGCCATAATAGAAAAGAAGGATAATATTTAGCAAACCCAAAAAAACAAATTAAATAACTTCTCAAACCATGCATGAAAAGATGAGGCCATGAGTAAAGTAACTGGTAAATTTAAATGCACCATTTGATGACAACTAAAATGTGCCAACTAAATACGGAGTATATCTTACCATTTGGAGAATATATACTTAGATAAATTGGTACGCTTGAGATTGTTTTAGAACGTCCTGTCTCACGATCAGTTTCATCTGCAATTTCTTTCCTCACAGCAGCTGAAAAAGTTTTTGATGATGCTTAGTATATTCAAGATGAATGACAGAGAAAACAATCTTGAAGAGGTAATATATGCATCATAGTCCACAAGCAGGATACAAAATATAATGTTCTTTCATGTCCCAAACTCAATGGATGCAATTAAAATCAATCATTTTTTCAGTATCACACTCATCTTAAGACTCACCAAAATCAGTAAACTTTTTCCTCTGGAGGTGTCCAAACTCTGCATATTCTCTGCTGTCATCTATGCGATGAAGCTGCAGGACAAGTGGACGACGGGTCACAATACCTGCATATTTTCTGAATCAATACTAAATAATTTACATCCACGTTTTTTGGGTAAACTATAAACATTAACATTAGTAACCCAAGTGCAAATGTACAAAGTAGGACGGGCATAGCCGAACAAGTCAACGGCGTACAGAATCCGGAATTAAAAAGTATAAGCACATGAATATGTCGGATGGCGTATATTATTTCGTTTAATAAAGGATAACCAATACTCCCTCCATCCAAGCATTCATCTTACCATGTGAAAATGACATGAAAATTTAAAGTGAAATGGTGTAGTTGAAGCTGATGCATAAGGGATAGAAATAATATGAACCAACAAATCTTTCCTTAAAAGGATTTCTGAAATATTTGAGGAAACAATCAGAAAAATCCTTCATTAAAAGGAAATCATAAATTGTGTAAGGAAACGAGATAAAAATTCTTTCCACACAATTCACAACCTTCATAAGGAAACGATATGTAAATTCTATAACGGTCATCCATCATTCATAGGTTATTCCACATGCTTGGAGAATATGATGAGTCGACAGGGAGTTGAGGTATTTGTTTTTGGCATGTCAACTTCACAGTTGATATTTCAAGACCAACATGAAAATCAATTAACATGACCATTTTAATGCTTTACCCAGATAATAACAGTTTGCAAATTGTTCCCTGTCTGTTTGTTAACCAGCAGTACTCCTGGTGACTGGTGTTGTATAGACATTATAGATTCTTAAGCTCAAATAGAAAAAGAATATTTTCTCAGTTTTATAAACTTTTGACATGGAATGTGATGCATTGTCCACACGAATTACCAGATCCACGGGGCAAAAAGTCCTTGCCAACAATGCTCTCAAGCACAGAAGACTTTCCTGAACTCTGCGCAAATGAAACAAGAAGAGAGTGAGGACTGGGTGTTTCACTACAAGGAAATACATGAGTAAGGCAAAGGCAGAGTGCAATGTGTCAAAAAGAGTAAGCGGAAGCAGTTTGACCCGGCACTTCCAAGGAATAGGCATACGATTAGGGATAAGATAATAATAATCCGATGGAACTCAAAACATCATAACGAAACCCTAACCAATTGATGCATGTTGTGAACGAATCGATCACAAATCTCTGTGTGTGTGTGCGTGCATAATAAATAAATGACACTGTTATAATGATGATGCAAGAACGTTTATGTGGGGAGAGAAGAGAGATCTGATCTGACACCTGGCCGCCGACGACGGCGATGGAAGGCAAAGCATCCCATAGAGTAGGCAATGCACTGTCTTCGCCGTAATCCCCGAGGGCGGTGCAAGCTCTCTGCAATCTGTTTACCAAGGAGATCAGGTTCTCCATTGTGTCCTTGAGATTGAAAGATCTGTGCCGATTCGAATCAAGAACCGCTCAATCAATACCCGCTCAGCGAATCAGAGAGTCCGATGGACAAATAGAAGATGATTTTGAATATCGACACAAGCCAACGTGCAAGCTGAATCCAGAATTTGAACAAATGACAAAATGTTTAGATTTCATTCGTTTCAGCGGCAGAGAAACAGAATTGACTCTCACCTAGTACCTAAGGTAGACAGGTTTCGATATCTTGGCTCGGTAATCCAGGCTGATGGGGAGTTAGACGGGGATGTTGGACATCGTGTTGGAGTGGCTTGGGCCAAATGGCGGTTGGCTTCAGGGGTATTGCGTGACCCGAAGATTTCGCCCAGGATGAAAGGCAAGTTCTATTGATCCGTAGTCAGACCTGCTATGTTATATGGGGCAGAGTGTTGGGCAGTTAAAAAGACTTATGTGCGTCGTCTGCATGCGGCGGAGATGCGGATGTTACAATGGATGTGTGGGAAGACAAGGTTAGATAGGATTTCAAACGAAGTTATCCGACGTCAGGTAGGCATGGCGCTGGTGGAAGATAAATTGCGGGAAGCGAGGTTGAGATGGTTTGGTCATGTGAGACGGTGGGATGCTGACGCCCCTATACGGAGATGCGAGCGGATTACGGTTTTCGGGGGAAGTAGGGGAAGGGGTAGATCTAAGAAGAATTGGGAGGAAGTGATTAGACAGGATTTAGGACTTTTCACCCTGACTGAGGATATGGCTTTAGATAGGAACCTTTGGAGAACTAGGATTAGAGTAGCTGGTTAGGAACTCGGTGCTATAGAGGTTTTTTGTAGTTTGTTGTGTTTGATTGGAATCTTCTATTAATGTTTGTAGAACTTTCTTTTCATTGTACTTGGTGTTTTATCCATGCTATACTGTATACCCTATCATATTTTTTGTGCAGGTTGAGCCGGGGGTCTCTTGGAAACAGCCTCCCTGCTTCCAAGTAGGGGCAAGGTCTGCGTACACACACCCTCCCCAAACCCTACTATAGTGGGATCCAACTGGGTTGTTGTTGTTGTTGTTAAAAAAATACCAATAGATATTAGGGAGTATGTTTTAATAAAATTATAGAGTAAGTTTTATAAATAATTATTAGTTGGCAAGGCTCGGTTGACACTGTTATCTGTGTCAAATTGTCAATGAATGACACTGTCATCTAGAGTAACTTTTGGTATGCAGTTATCAGAATTGATGGTTCCTATTCTTCTAAGTAGCATTTCGTTCAACTCATTTTTTCTGCTTATTACTTATTCTTATTATAGTCGGATCAGAATTAAATCAACCAGATCAGATTAGACCATAAACAATTTTAATTATATCTGCAATCAGATTAGATTTTCAAAAAATCAGATGAGATTAGTTGAACGAAATGCAACCTTAGAAGATTGTTTCTTCGTAGGATTTTATCGTAAACATTATTAATATATTATTTTTTTTAAGAAAATGAGTTTTACATGTTTCAAATGTTTTTCTTTTCATTTGATTGGTGGGGCGATGGTGGCTGGCGATGATGGGCATATGTATTTCTTCTCCCCCATAATAATCAGTTTTTTAGATCTAAGATTTTATTTCGGTGGGACTAGAAATTGTGGCGGAGATTAAGGCAATGGGGTGCGGTGGCAATGGTTGGGGCCGGCGCCGATGTGGATTGGGGAGAATGGTTCCGGAGAGCAAGGGGCAGTAGTAGCTATCAAAAGAGGGTATTTTGAACATTTCTTTCCCATTTTCAACTCTCATTAAAAATAAGGAAATACGGAGTATCAAAGTGGGAAGTTTATTCCCGGACGGAGGTAGTATTATCTATATCACCCGCTTTACCTGTTTCACCCATGAGTGATGGATGAATCGAGTGATACGTGATATATATAATTGATGATAGATGAATCGCATGAATATAAAGTCGATTGTTGGATGAGGGCATGAAGGTGAAGCTCCAATACATCCCTATCATTTTATTACCGTCATAAGAGAGTAACAAGGTGAAAATAGACAAATACTAAAGATACATCACAAAGTGTATTACAAATGAAAGTTAGAGAATTGATAAATATTATTGAGTGCTCCTTAAATGATAAGATGAAAGTTAGAGAATAGATAAATGTACGCCACCATATTTTCACTACATTTTTGTTGGGAGATGTTATGAGTACACTAAAGATGTACCCCAAATATACATCACATGACTCTTTATCATTCATTTTTATTTAGTTTTTATTTTTTTTTTAAATTCTACATGCAATTTTTTTTTTGGGCTAGCGTTCTTTTTGCTTTTTTGGCTCTCCAAATAATTACTACTCCTTTTTTTCTTTTAATAAGACTAGTAATTAAAGAAAAAGGAAACTTAACTTTAATTAGTTTTAGGGTATTGCTCTGTTCTTTCTGACTCTCATCTGACCCAGGTCTGGTCAGGTCAGGTCAGGTCAGGAGTCTGTTCTTTCCTATAGTCAGTCACTCCGCCCGCGATTATCTCCCCCTATACAAATCCCCATTAACTTCCACTTCCATGAGTGATCCGTACGGATCTAAGCCCAGCCGTAGCACCCGCAGCGGCGGCGGCGGCGGCGGCGCCAACTTAGCTTCGTGCCTACTCGCCACCTGTTTCCTGATTTCGGTCATCGCCGGCGCAGTGGCGGCTTGCTACTTTGTCTTCAAGCCCAAGCCTCCAAGAATCAAGGTCCAGGCCGTGCGATTCTCCAACTTGTCAATCACAAACGGCACCCTCAACCTCGCCTTAGTCCAGGAGGTCTCCGTCTCCAACCCCAACCGCGACGTGTTCAGTCAGTACGGCAGCACCATCCAGCTCAGCTATCACGGCCGCCCTGTCGGCGTGGTGTTCATCCCCACCGGAAAGATTGAAGCAGGGCAGACCCAGAGAATGTCTGCCAAGCTGAATGTCCAATCCTACCCCTTGCCGCCTTCTTCCACCTCCTCCTTCTCATCGCAGCCCGGTGAAACAGAGACTATGGTGATAGAGACCATGATGAAACTGGTGGGGAGTGTCAGGGTGCTGAAGGTGTTTACCCATAGAGTGGAGAGCAACGAGAAGTGTACAGTGTGGACTCAAGCCCCCAATTTGTCTGTATTCATCCAGTGCTCCTGAATGAAGAACATTGCTAGGGAGCCCCCACGGTTTTGACACCATAGTTTCTCACACAATAGAACAACAGAATTGTCTGTTTTGTGAAACACTGTGGTGTCAAAAAAGTGGGGTTCCCCTAGTTTTTTTTCCCATGAATGAATGTTTTATCTTCTGCTTCTGCCTCCACATCGTTTATTCATTTGAAAAAAAAACATAACAAGTGTGTGTATGAGAGAGAGAGAGAGGTTCATATTGTGTTGCACGACAAGCTGTATAGACTGAGCTAAAGAAGCCTTGAGAATTCTGTTACAAGCTTGATTTGGATTTACAATTTCCACAACTACTCATACTTTGAGCTATTTCCTTGTACTGTCAATGTCAAGCAGCTTCCTTTGTTTTCTCTCTGTTGTCTTATTACTGGGAAAAAAAGGGCAAAACAAATGTGAGCTTACAACCACATATATGCAAACACTGCTAAAATTCTAATATGATGGTGAGTTTTGAAGGTTCAAATTTACCTGCAGGGAGGTTCCTTTCCAGTACCAAACATGCCCTTCACTACAGCCTCCATATCAACACCACGTTCCCGCATGAGTCTATCATGGTATATCTTACTCCCTATTTCGCAGATAAACTCCTCCACCTCTTCTAGCCGCTGGTCAACATTCAGCTGCAGCTCCCCTTTCTTGATCACAGTTACACCAAAACCATTTGCTTTGGCTGCCCGGAAAGCATCCTGCACCGTGACCGGAAGCAATTTTAAATTTCGCAAGTAAAATAGGGGAGTAGAAAGAGGGGGGGATTTAGATTTAAATTTACCTTCGGATGCTGCGCGACAACAAAGGCATTTCCATGGCCAAGTGATTCCAAGTGAGCTTGTATGATGTAGCACATATTTTTACAGTCTCCAGCATCCTCAAAACCGATAACATGATTTGGTGGAGGGTCCAATTGCAAATCAGAAGCCATTTCCAATGAATAGAAGCCCACTTTCATCTCCCCTTCTTGCTTGATGTACATTTCAATGCACTACACATGAAAAGAAATATGGGGAAACAAAATCCAATAAATGCAGAAATTGTAATTCGGTAAAATGTGGTACAACACCTTTGTTACTAAATGATAAAGTTGGCCGGCCACTTACCAGTATATGTGGCAAATCTAGCCACCACAAGTAATCCTCTTCCTTCTCATCACCATACTCGCGATATTTGCTCACCACAGCTTGAGGTCCAAATACTTCCATTTCTCTTCTGACTTTGTCGAGTTTCTCACTGATGAACTTTTTCCCCCTGTTGGGCAATCCATCAATGAGTTCACTGGCTTCTTGTATCTCTTTCTCAGTAATCCATCTGTCCAAGTCCTTCCCTATATTTCTCATAATACTTTTAATTTCTGGGTCTGTCTCTGCATTGTACGACTCTAGGAACTCTCGTGACCATTTCTTTGTATGCTCCCAATACTCTTTCCCAGATTTTTTCCCAGCTCGAGTTGAACCGTCACTTCCTTCTATAATGGTCTTTGGAGCTTTTGCAGGCTTCTTCAACAAAGAAGAACTGACTTTAGCATTCGATGGAGATTCTGCTGGTTTCAGATGTGCCTCTCGCCCGTATGTATTTTGGAGACTAGAGTCTTTAGTACTTCCCTTAGCTGTCTTTCCCAGCCCCACATTGCTATTTAGTAACTCCTGAATTTTCTCCATGGGAGGACTTCGCCACCGAGGCATTATTTTCTGTGGTGGGTCATACAAACTGATACCATCTAGAGCATATAAAACTTCCTCAGTAAATATCAAAACAATTTAACCAAACACCAAGTAAAATAGCATTTAAGTAAACTTAAACAGAATTCATATCTTCATTTTTTATCAAGAGATAAAATCCAGGTTAAATGTTCATGTGAAAGACAGCTACCTGTTCCATAATCAAGGTTTTCAATGTTTGCATGCAGCCATTCATGCAAATTCAAAAGCTGCTTGTTCTCTTGTTCAACTTTCTTCTCAAGGCCATCAAAGAAAGCAAGTTTATCATCTTCGCTCATTAGGAAAAACGGGTCTCTTCCAGCTAGCTCATTGTCTCGAACTTTAAATACAATCCCTTGGAGCCTTTCATCTTCCACCCATTCAAGTTCTCCACCGTATTTACTACTCTCAAGATTAAGTGGATTTGACTTTGCATCCAACTCTAGATTAGATTTATCTTTTGCAACCAAGTAGTTATCCCTAAAGCCTGTCTGCATTTTCTTGATTACTGGCTCAAGTACATGAAAATTCTTCTCCAACCAATTCTCCTTATTTACGAACGGAGCCGTCTCTTTTAAGCCAGAGGGAGTTTCTGGAATATCTGAACATTCTGCTACTCTTTCCTTGACATCCTTTAGGATTTCCATGGCTGGAGCAGATGGCTCATTTGTGAAAGTGGAATCCTCACAGTTAGTTGATGCTTCAAGTGAAATGGAGGGTGAGACAAGCAAGTTCTCATCATCATCCTGCTTCGAGCTATTCTCCATTGCTGAGTTGCCTGGTGGAGCTACAGAATTATTATCAATTGGAAGATATTTCTCCATATCACAATTAGAGCCATTGAAGAACTCCATTGAATTGGTAGGTGGGGAATCAGCCTGTTCAAAACAGGCTTGGGGAACAGGTTTTTTCCTTCCGTAATTAGAACTTTCCAAGTACCCATCAGGTTTCACGCGCACATGGCCAATATCTTTCTTTTCCACTAGATTGGCGGCTTCGGTGTCTACTTCTTCGACAGTTGCCACTATTCTCTCTTGGGTTTCTTCACATTTCCTAGAAAGGTATTCTCTAGCTTCCTTCACCGACGTTATGATCCTTGATTTTGTTTTCTTACGATTTTTACGTGGCTTGCTTGGGAGGCCACCTGCACTGTCAGATTGTTCAGTTATGCCAGCGACATTATTCAACAAGCTCGCATCATGCATCAATTCACTTACATTTCCTGTAGAACTTATAGCACTATCAAGATTCTTTGAAGCTACACAACTCAGTATTCTAACTTCTTTTTCTTCTCCATCTTTATTTGAAAAAGGACCTTTATCTTCCAATTCTCTAGCATGCCTAGCCAACTCTCTGATTTCATGAATCTTATTCTCAAATTCTGCATCGCTGATATGCAGGTTGCTTGAATGTTCTGGCAATCTTGGTTTATTACGTGACTCCGTTGAATTCGTTATGCTAGTCATGAGTTTTTCTTTATCAAGCTCAGGCCGTTCAATAGAAAGGATGTTGTTATGCTCTGCGAATCCACGGACAACTTCCACACCACCAATCACCATTTTCTCTTTCTTCACTCTAGCTTCTCTCTTTCTCCTCAGCATTTCTTTCTCTAATCTTGTAAGGTACTGTTCACTCTTCCCAGACTTAAACAACGTCTTCATACCCAGTGTTGCAACAAGACCACACAATACTGCAATTCCAGAATGAGGTGGAATTTTATAGGAGCTCGGATTTAGACTGAACCCACTTGTCGTCCCCTTCAGGACAATGTCTAGCTTCCCCTCATCGGAGATCAGAAACTTTGCAACCGAACTGTTTGTTGGTATCACATTTTTCCCAGTTTCCATTTCCCGAGCCAACGATTTGGCAACGGATAGTTTTTCATTGACTTCACTGAGATCCTCAACCGCCGCAACATCCTTAAACAATGGTGGCGGAACTCTGCTCCTTCTGAGGATTTCGTCCTCGTTTACAACAACCCTTTCAACCTTACCCTGAGAATCTCCATAAACCGTGAAGATGGGACATGTCCCAATGCCCCAGAACTCCGTGTCCTTCCTATACTGCTCAACCCAATTCTCTAATTTATCCAACAAGAGGGATTCTCCCCCAGAAGGGACTGATAGATTAATATCACCCCGCAGGGTAGTGGACTCTCGAAGAATGTGAGAATCAAGATTTTTCCCAATTCGATCAACATTTTCAATTTCCTTGGCACTTTGAGAAATGGGAGAAGAAATAACAGAATCGCCACCACTAACCTCCTGACGTTGGATCTTTCTTCTCAGATGGTTCTGGCGGACGGAGCGCCGGTGAAACTGAGCTGAAATCCGGAATCTCGAGCGGCCACAGAGGGGTGAAGAATGGGAGAGTAGGCGGATTTTTTTAGTTCTGGGGAAGGCGAGGCTTAAGGGGGAAAGAAATGAAGGTTGGCGCTGCAGGGTGGAAAGAGGAGTGGGGTAGATTACAAGGTCCATGAGCTAAGGGGCACGCCCATGAGAGGGAAGATAAAAGCTTAAACCCTGATAATACTGTAATAATAACTCAAGGGTTCCTCTTCCTCGAGAAGACGACTCTAGTATTTTTGCTAACTTATTTTTATTATTCCCTATTATTTTGTTTTCCTCTTAAATTAAATCTTTATTTATTACAGAGTATTTTTAAAGTCAAGTTTTGTTTATGTTTTTTATCTATTTTTGTTACTGATTCAATAAAATTGTAATCATGTCATCTTTTGTTTTGCAAATTTCTAAATGTAATTTTTCAATATAAAATTTATTTTTTAATTTTACCGTAATTCTCATATAAATTGAATTTTAAATAATTTCAATCGAATATTGTAAACTAAAAAAGACAATTTACATAAAAATGAATTGATAACTATTTATTCTTATATAAAAATCAGACTAAAGTAAAGTAGATCAAATCAAATCAGAGTATATTAAAATGGGATCAAATCCAATTAAATCGGACAAACAGAACACGTTGTCCTACCTCTTATTCTAAGACAATCTATCTAGTTTTTTTTAATAATTAACGGAGTAGATTTAATTGCATTATTTGAATATAGACTTCGTTATCCTTAATAAGACAATTAACTCAGTATAAAAGTAGCATGAATTTCTGGAAATTTTCCATCTTTCTTTCAATATAGAGTCGTGGTGAGAGTACTTCTAATTTGTTTAATTTGACTTTTCTCTAGTTAAAATGAAAAAGTTTCCATCATAGTTTAAGAGTAATACCTCCTCCGTCTCTAAGTTGTTGTCCACTTTAACTTTTTTCAATTAAAATTGGCAAACTCGGACCTCAAATTAAATAAAAATGATATTAGATATTGATATATTATTTCCAGAAAATGTCTAAAAGCAGTTGTAACAAGTTATAAATTAAGAATTGCAAACCAGATAAACACGGTCTAAATATATAAAAGCACATAAATTATTTATTGGTGCAAGTATTACTCCTCGGCCTACTCGTTGATGACAAAGACAATGTTTTCTCCAACAGAGAAGAAATAAAAACGTTTCGTGGGCATTGAAATATATTTTGATTCACAATTTTGCACGTACTGAGTCAAACAGCACACCATAGGATTTACTTAGTTGTTCCTTTCTTCTGACGTGTGGTTTATACATATAAATTTTGAAATACAAAGTGGGATTAGCTCATTCCAATAGAAGTTTCAACATTATGCTAAGCAGCAAAACTTGTTTCACATTGGTGATGTTAGGTGTAGAGATTGAGTTGAGAGTTCACTTGGCCAAACTTGTCAATTGTTACAAAGGAAACTTGAGAAACCAACAAAACATTGCACTCTCTAATTCTGTCTATGTACAAACCAGCCAGTTTACAATGTGTTGAACTATAAAGCCACAATGGTAACTTCAAAAAAAGAAAAGAAAAGATGGGAAAACACAATGCAGAACCAGCCAGTTTACAGTGTGTTAAAATATATAAAGCCACAATGGTTACTTCAAAAAAAAGAAGGGAAAACACAATGCATCAACCCGACTACCTATCAATCTTAATGTACCTTCAGTGCATATATACGTCAAGCAACCTCTGTAAACATCTTTCGTTGGAATCACTTGCCACAAAACCACAAAAGCGATCAAGAGTGATAAGTTTACATTTCTACCACTGATTTGGAAAAGCCTCGCGGTAGTTTGCATCCTCTGCTGCTGCCAACTGTCTCTGTGTAGCATCTCTTGCACGTGCATTCAGAAGCTTCTGACCCAGTCTGTCTTTACTGGTTTCTTTCTTCTTTTTCAACATAGATGCGAGGGTTTCTTCCTTATTTCTCGCATGATATGCCGTCCCATTGGCTGCATGTTGATCTTCTCCAGCAAAATAAGAGGTTGAAGATGATGCAATTGCAGCGTCACGAAGAACGGATTCATTGTGTTCCCGTACCTTTGCACGTTTAGCTCGCTTCAAAATCTGCTTTGTATCGCTTGTATCTCTCTCCCGTACGTTCTTCACCGCTTGTCTGGCCAATTGAGTCATATCTACCGTTGGAGGGAATTCATCAATATCATTTCCTTTGCCCTCTGCAATTGAGCCTTGATTAAACATAATAGGCTTCCCATCATCTTCACCCTTGCCTTTGCCTTCTGCAATTGATCCTTGATGAATCATAATAGGCTTTCCATCATCATCTCGAGGAACAATCACCCCGTGAAATGGACAAGCTCTCAAGTCTCTCCTCTGGCAAAGCCCACCTTTCCTCGATAAAGGAGCATGGCACGGTTGGATTTCAACTGGGTCTTCCCGGTACACAGTTGCATGCACATTCAACTCTGCAATTCTTTCAGTGGGAATAACTGTGTCATGGTCTACCCTACCCCAGTGACTGTCAAGATCCAAACCCCTTTGGTTGGCCAGAAAGATCCGCTTTGAGCCCCAATTGTCCATGACGGGGCCCCACTTCATGACTGGAGCTTCAGCTAAGAGCTCCCTGTGCAAAGGATTTGATTCACTGGTGTCCTTTTTGACAATCCCTTCTTGATGTCCGTTACCTTTTTCAGAAGCTTCACATCTCAAATCTGTTACCACAGGTTTTCTAGTCCCAAATGAACTGACATCACCATCTTCCCAAATGACATCGTCATCCACATGGGTGGTTTTTGAAAGAGTACACCCCGAGGATTCACATTTTGCTTCTACAGATTTGAGATTATTTCGAATATCAATGAAGTCCTTCAATGCATTGTCCCTAAACTTGGTGTCCTCTGTTTCCACTCTTATGAGAACAGATATCCATTCTTGAACCACAACCATATGTTTGGTCATTACAACCTTATAGAGTTCCCTCAATGCATCAAAAACGACAGTATTGTTGGTGGTCTCCCTAACCTTTTCCCCTTCTGCCAAGCAGTCGTGACGAAGCCGTTGCAGTTCAGAGTTGCGAAACTCTTCAACCTCCTCTTCGCCATCTAACGGAACCAACTGCATGTCCTCTTCATCACCCTTGGCATTAAGAATTTCTAAACACACAGTAATTTCATCAATGGTGGAGTGAATCTCATCTTTTATTGAAGAAACCTTGTCCTTAAAGCTATCAAACTTTTTAAGCAAAATTTCTCTTGTCCTCGCCTCTCTTTCTCTTCTCTCCTGCTGAACCCGCAAGGCATTTGCTTGCACATTGGGAAACTGAAAGCGAAGTGTGTTCTTCAGGTATTCATACCCCAACCTAAGCTGCCTGTAGTGAATTCCGAATGATGCATTCCATTTCTCCAGATACTCAATCGCCTTGGCACGTAAAACAGATGCAACAGAAGCAGGGGCAGGGAGAGGCAGGTTCCTTCTGAACCCCACACTCAAAGTTAACAATTGCTCCAAATTCTCAACAAGCAGAGCCCGGAAAAGCTTTGACCTCATGAAGATTTCGTCTATGATTAGAAGGGAAAGATACCTAACCTGCAAAAGACAGTATAACATTTTGAAGCATAACATTTTTTTTTATTTTACTCCAACGTGATTGTTCTATCATTTCCAACAAAAAGATGAACACTTTCAATTTCCATATTGTAATTCCAGCAGAAACAAAAGGGCAGTAAAATTGAATTGTGTGATTGATCCAACATGTATAAATGTTTTCTATGAGTTAACACGAAATAAAGAAGATGGAAAGATTGATTGGGCGCGAGATGAACATGGCGTGGCAAATGATATTACCTGCGAGTGGTCGCGTTTCAATAGGGTCATTAGGGTTTGAGCAGCAAGTCGGAGCTCGGAGTCGGATTGCCGGACGACGGATTTGATGGATTTGAGAAGGCGCGGATCCACTTCGGGTCTAGTTGAATTTGTGGCCTTCTCTATCAGCCGTACCGCCACAGCCTTCTCTCTTGCAATGTCGTCCTCCATTTTGGTCGCACAAAAGGGCAAGGGGCTTGAGTTTACAATAAGGTCTTATATGGTGACCTTGGTAAATAGGGTGAACAGATACGGAAATTTTTCTAAAAAATTTACAATACAGAACTAAAAAATGAATCGAAAAAGTACAGAAAAAAAACTGAACCGTACCAAATTGAATGGTCGATACGGTATTTGGGAACAGTACGAGATGACGTCCCATACCGAAAATTCCGAACCGAACATATATACTAAAATATTACAAAAAATAATACCCGGAAGTAATATTTTTATATTCCTTCACTAAATAATACTTTAAATAAATGGTTCAAGTTCTATTATGTGTAAATTATACTTTTATTTGTGTATTTATCCCAATTTGTACCGATACCGAACCATCCCGAACCATACCAAACCGAAATTTCGAGATCGGGATCGGTACGGAGTAAAATCTCATACCGAACCGAAATATTTGATACGGTATCTGTACGAGCTAAATACCGTACTATGCTCACCCCTATTGGTAAATATTCCCTCTATCCTTTAAAGGTTTAAGTGTTTATTAATTGAAGGTCAAATTTTAATTTAGTTAATTCACTTTTTTTCTTTATTGACATTATTAATTTGAAAAAAAATCTACATCCATCCTTGAGCATTTGTCTTTGAGTATATTGTTATATTTTTTATTTTATAGATTTTTAATGTAGTTTTTAAATAAATAAAGTTGTTCTCTTTTTCATGTATAAATTAGAATGCAAATAAATTTAATCCAATATCGTTATGCGTGTAGACAATTCTTTTTGAGACACAAGAAATATTGATTTTTGATATATTTCAACGATGAAATTTTGTTATAGATAATTGTAATGTATAAACAGTCAGTGGGTGGCGTTAAGCAGTAGGCAAAACAATGAGTGTCATAAGAGTAAGACTGTCGATTCATACTAACTATGATAAGATGCAACTATGCTAAGCATAGTACCTCTGCAAACATCAAGTGCAAATTCCATTTTTTGCCACTAATCTGCGATCAAAGTCCAATTTTCTTTTTCAGTAACCATTCGGTCGGGTCTATGAGAGCCCTCGGGGATGTAGCTCATACTCCCTCCGTCTCATAAAGTGTTACCCATTTTGACTAAAGTTGAAATTAAGGGAGGGATAATTTTGTGTTGACTTTCCAAAAAAATCCTTGATGTGATGGGTAAGAGTAGGATGTGATGTGTAGATTATTAGGAAAAAGGTATGATGTGATAGGTAGGGTTTGAAAAAGTAAGGGGTAAAAGTGGTTTTTTAATAGAAATGGGTAAGGGTTTGTGAGACACAATTTTTTAGAAACGTGTAAATCTTTTTGGGACGGAGGGAGTATGTTTTAAAAGAAATACTTCCTACGTTTTAAAAAGATTGCTACATTTTGATTTTTTAGTCAAATTGTAGCACCCATTAACTGCAAGTTATGAAAAAATATATTTAGTTATAATGTAAATTTAATAAAATTCAATTTATTTTATAATATAGTTTTGACATATCAAATTTTTATACTCCATTCATTCCTAAATTATTTACTCTTTACGTAAAACGAAGTAAAATTTTAAATTGTTTTATTTAATGTGTGCTCAAAGGAAACCATAATTTAACCAAAAAGTCAAACTGTGACAATCTTTTAGAGACGGTAAAAGTATATTGATACTCCCTCCGTCCTAAAACTTTCTTTCCAGAACACTATTCCAACTTCACAGAAATTTATATTTATTTGTGTTTTTTCATGGCCTATATGATAAAATAAAATATTCTTGTCATCACTTGTTTTGTTGAACTTTTGATGTAGTTTTTAAATATGTATGTTTTTTTTATTTCTATACCAATATTTAAATAAAATAGATTGAAAAAACTTGGAATTTTTCTTCATTTTACGCAATGGAAAGAAAGTTTTAGGACGGAGAGAGTATTACATTTATATCAAAATACATTCTATTTTTTCTGCATATCGACGTCAAAATTTAGTTGATATGGATTTAAGGGATTACATCATACTACCTCCGCCCCGCTATATTCGTCCACTTTTGACTTTTGGAACTGTTTATCTAAGCATTTTGATTCATCAAATTCTTTCAATGTGTAAGCCTAAATATAGTCATGCGTGATCTTGTTTGATTTGTTTTAACATATAGATTATTAATATATAATTTACATAATTTTTTAATATAGAAATTAGAAGATAAAATGGATTAAAGAAATGCATTGGATAGTGTGCCAAAAAGTAAGTGGACAAATATAGTGGAACGGAGAGAGTATTTAGGAGATTAATTTTTTTTTGACAAATGTGGATGATATGTGGATTGTGGGTCAAAAATGGGGGTCAAAGTGTGAGACCTACACTATATTCCATATTTCCACCCAATATTTCTAGCACAAAGTTTGTATCCTATCATCACTCTCATCCATACTGCAGTGTGGAGTGTGGATTAGAAGAGAAAGTTCAGATCTCTGACTCCAATTGTGCCCAAGTTATTCATAATGTCAATTGATATAATACTTTCTGCGAAATTTCATTATTACAGTTTCTACATTCCATTGAAAGCCCTTTTTAACCATAATCCCCACTTTATAATGCCACCCAAAGGGATTAATCAAGATTAAAAAGCAACCACACTAAATCCCACTACAGCAAATTTGAAAAAGCACAGGAGTAACAATATAGTTTTCTCGTAAAGATTAATAAAAGAGTAATGCGAATTATGGATGGACTTTTAGGTTAAAATTAATTAATTAATTAATCGCACCCACCGGTGGCAAACCCGACTTTAGATTCCCCCATGTCGAACACCACCCGGAAACCCTGTTGCTGGATGTTTCCGATTATGGACAGCCCCCCATTTGTGCCGGCGAACGCGAAGCAGAACTTCCCCGCCGAATCCACCGGAATCAGGTAGTTTGAAGCCGGGAGGGAGACGTTGGCCCCTTTGAAATTCAGCACCACCGTCGGCACCTTCACCTCCTCCTTCCCGGAAAGATCGTAGCAGGTGTCGAACAGCGAGTACCCTCGCGGGTCCAGCTTCAACTCCGTCGCCCCCTTCCGGAATGCATCCCTCATCGCCTCGTACGCCCGGCTGGTCAAACGGGTCACCGACGTGCCCGAATCCACTATGACCCCTCCATCTGCTGACGCCGGATCTAGCTTGAACATTGACGGTTTGATCCCGGGAACGGCCGCCCCGCCGACGCTGATTCCCAGTAGCTCCACGTAGTAGAAGGTGTCGAGCCCGGGGTTCTTGAGGAGCGGGGTGTACACCGCCCTCCTCGCCACCGCGGAATCTCCGAAGACGATGGAAGACGGTTTGGAGGTGGCGGACCGGTCCACGAGGCAATACGAGAACTTCCCTCCGAACCGTTGACCCGCTTGACTCGGGAACGACAGCTTCCCCCTCCCCAGACCCAACAGTCCGGCCGCCCCGACGAAGAGGCCCTGGTTGTTGTGACCGCATCCGATCGCCACGTTCTCGACGCGCGTCTGCCGGAACGTGAGCGTCTCCGTGGAGAACTCGCCGTCGGTGAAAGATCCGTCGCCGTAGGACACTTGGTAACGGCACATCTTGAGGGGGTCGCAGGCGGGGCTGTCCAGCAGGTGGCACAGGGGAGTGTCGCACCGGATGGGGGAAAAGGACTTGGATTTCTTCGGATCGAAAACCGGGTCGGCCTGGGAGTAGCATTTCTTGCAGGGAGAGCACTGGAGCCAAACGACGTCGCTCCCGGTGTCGAGAACCATGTACAGGTACTCGGGAGGCGTTCCCACGCCGAGGCGCGTGAAGTACTCGCCGCTCCCCTGAGAGAGCCCGGAGATGACGGAGCTGCTGAAGTCCGCTCCGCGGCCGCCAGCGCGGCGGGAGACGGTGGCGTTGGCCGCCGCGTCGGAGAGAGCCTTAACCCTAGCGGCGTCCCGCTGCAGCCGCATCCGGAAGAGGGCCTTGGGGGTGGCATTCAGTTCATCGCCGTAGATGCGGTCGACGTGATGGAGCTCGAGAGCAAGGGAAGTCTCGTCGGATTCCGGCTGAAGCAGGGGAGTGAAGGAGAGCGACTGGCGGGTGGCGGGGAGAGGGCGAAGAAAAAGGGTGTGGTAATCTGAGACTTGGGCGGCGGCGGCGGGGGAGGAGGAGGGGGAGATGACGAAGAAGAAGAAGAGGGCAATGGAGGAGAGAGAATCCGCCATGGTTTAGTAGCGAGAGATGGAGACACAGGGGATGAAATCCCTAAATAAAGAAAGAAAGGGGAGGGGAGGGGAAAGTGGTGGTGGGTGGGGACAGGGGAGACAGAGGGTAGTGTTGGCTTATTGCAAATGCGATTGGTCGGGATGCTCCAAATCGGCGGTGATCTCTTCATTCATTCAACTCAGGCAATTAATTTTACTCGGTTGTTCGTTGGTGTGCTTCTGGTTGTCATTATGATTGTTCCGCTGGTTGGGTTAGCAGTCTTAACAACGTGCTTTGTACATTGTTAAGTGTTTAATGATCCCATGTGTGACCACCACCTCCAAAAGTCACTTCAACGTCTTAGAGCAACCAAACAAAGTTCAATGCCCATTTACTACTTCTTGAAATTAAACAGCCCCCGTTCAATGCCCATTTACACACAAAAAATCTTTAATTTAATTTTTTTTATACATATCAAACTCTAATCTTCAATCTTCTTCACATCTTTTCTTTTTTCAGTCTTCAATTTTATTCACACACATATCTTCAATCTCCTTCAAATTTTTTACTCCGTAAATTTTAATTAACATTAATCCCTCCCGTTTTTCTCCCCCCGACGGTCTCGAGCCAAACGAGTACGCGATGTGACTCTTCAAAACGTACGAGAGTAATCTGGCGTTGTTCGAAACGCAAACATCGGTGAACCTCGATGACCCGGAGTCGGTTCGGAAACTCAACCAGAACCAACGAAAACAAAAAAAAAGTGCACGTCGGAAAAGTCACGAAGCGACGATGAACAAGGACGTCTCGTACCGTAGATAAGACCGACTCACTTCCAAATCAATAGAGTGAGATTTGAATAATCTATAATCAAAAGAAAATATTGTAAAAAGAATCTAATGGAGGAAGACGTAAGGATATGATTGAACCCTTTGAAAGTTTCAGAAATTATGATTCAAAGTTTATTGCATTAATATATTTTGTGATTTAATATTATACATTTTTATTTCTTATGGATGAAAGTTGTTAGTATACAATTGGTGTATTCTGATTTTATATTTTTAACTTCTACGTTTTTACATTGCATCGATGTTTATCAACACTAATTTCATTTAACTTTGAAAATATTTAAACGCCTTATTAACCGCTCTAAGACATGGACGCATAGATTAACAAAAGTTCTTTTATTAACGTGTGTGCCTGATTGTTGTACAAGAGTACGGGTGGCCCGAGGGTCCTATCCCAAGTACTCCGTAGATGTTAGAATCAAGATGAGTAGTGCTTTTTCTCTCTATACTTCAATCTTCTCTCTTTTGAATATGATCCCTATTTTCTTTCACTTTATTGCTTATTTATATGGGGAATTTACATAAATAGTATAAAAACAAACTAATATAGTACCATATGTTTTTATTTCCCAATGTTGTACTAATGGTTATTGTTCAAGTAAACGTTTACCATCACGGGACATTATTCAAACTAAATGTTCACCATCAGTGGACATTATTCTCGCCACTAGACATTATTCAAATACTATTTAGAAAATAAAAAAGTTTAAGTACTATATTAGGAAATGACATATGTTTTAGTACTATTTAGTGCAAATTTTACTATTGATAGAAGAAGTAAGCATGGGCAAATGGGATGATGTGATAGAGGGGTAGGGGTTTGTACACCGCGACATTCTCGCCGGTAACGTGCATGCGTGTTAGATGTCTCTTTCGCATATAATGTGTAATACAAATGTCGTTGATGACTGGTGAGCCTAACATGACTAGGGTTGTTCATCGGTCCAATATCGGACCGAACCAGACCGGACTGAATTGAATAAAATCACGGATCGGAGAACGGACATAAATCTATCCGGGTTTGGGCCGGACCGGACCAAAATACTTAGGCCCGGACAGGTCTGGACCGAATAAAAATACATATTTTTTAATTATTTTGATAAATTAAATATATTTTAGGCTTTTTACTTTGTACCGTTCAAATAGAAAAAAAAACAGGCAACCCTAAAAAAGATACACAATATGAACTACTTCTATGTAGAATCATAAAAACTTATATGAAACTTTTTTTTAACTTTTTTAAATTACTTAATTAACAACTTTTTTAATTAAATAAATTAAGATATCTATTAAAATAGAGCATCAAAATGTAATAAGGAACTTAAAAAGTAGATTTTTAATATTTAAACTTTTTAAGTCTAGTAGGATAGTTAGGTCTATTCGATCCGTATCTAAATCATTTTGAGTTTGAATCGATCGGGCCGAAACTCGAACACTTAAATTTTCTCGACCGAAGATTGACCCGAAATCAATTCGGTTTGAGTTAGGTATGGACCTAACGGAACCGGTCCAGTTCAGTCGGTTTTTTTGATCTAGGGTCTAAGTCTAAATGTGAACTAAACATGACTAGACTGAAATAGAGTGATTTTTGGTAGTCTTCCCTTGGCCCATACCTGCGAGGGTGTGATCCGTCAAGTGTTGGACAATAATAATTAAAAATTGTGTGGGTTTAGGCAAAAGAGTTTAACAATACCATTACGGGGTAGTAATAACAAATGAGGACTCCTCTGCAGTGTATAGCTTTCTTGGAAAACAAGAGACCCGACGGGAGTTGTATATACATCATGTCTTGGATAATGCGCTCCTTGCCGCCTGAGTATATCGTTCCCACTCTGCAACCAATTGGATCAACAACATGAGTTTGGTGATGTCCCGCCGCCCTCTCTTCAACCTCGTCGCGAGTCATCATCTCCCCGTCCCCCGCTCTGCTCGTCACATCTCCACCGCTCCTCCGCCAACCATCCACATCTGCATCTCCACGGCACCTCCCTCATCCCTTCTCCGCGGCGCCTGCTGCCGTTCGTCACGTTGCCTACTCCCGCGAGCCCAACACCAGGTATAATATATTCCCTCTGTGTCCGGAAATGATGTTCCCATTCTAAGTTTTTTTCCGTCCGGAAATGATGTTCCCATTTTACTTTTTATAACATTTTTTCCTAAACTACCCCTCCCATTAAATCTCTTTTCTTCTTCTTTCATCCGCCCCAACTGATTCGTAGTGTTCATTCTCCTCCTCCTCTTCTTCTTCTCCTCCTCTTCTTTTTCTCCTCCTCTTCTTCTCTTTTTCTTTTTCTCCTCCTCTTCTTCTCTTTTTCTTTTTCTTTGTCCTCCTACACATGCTTCTTTTTTTCTTCCCCCTCCTAGATCTGTTCTAGATCTATGGTCTAGCGGCGATGGTGGACCCGATGGCGGCGGCGAGAGCTAAGGCAGCAGTGGATCTACGGTAGATCTATGCTAGATTTGTAGATTCTCTATTTAATCTTCTTTGTCTCATCTTTCTCCTCTCCGTTTTCTCTCTTTCTCCTAGAGATTGTGCAATGGAGGTGGGGGTTGACGGAGGTGGTGCAGCTGTGGGGCAGTTCTGGTGTGGGCGATCGGGGCTGGCAGATGCAGTGATGATGGGGCGGTCAGGGCTGGGGAGAGGGCGGGGCGGCCGGTGGTGGACGCTGGGGAGGTGGTGGCTGGCTGGCTGCTAAAACTCTAGCACGGGGTTAGGCAGTGGTGGGGATGCAAAGGTGTTTTGGACATTTTAATGCTAAAGTCAATACTTCAAAAATAAGGAAAAGTCAAACCGGGAGTATATTATTATGACTAAGCAATTTAGTTGAGAATGAACACTACGAATGAGTACCATTTTGTTTCAGAACTGAACAATACCTTAAAAGCACTTAATTAATAATCTCCATCTCATGTGATCTGCATTTTTGATTTCCCTTACTTCGATAGGATCATGAATGATAAACTTGTTGTGGCTAAATTCACGATAATATATAATTAATTAAATTGACGTTTCGAATTCAATTGATGGATTGGCTTTTGTTATAAGTTATAATATTAAGCCAATTGAGCCACCGCGGAACTGGGGAATTCGTATGGTGCCTGAGAAGAGGGCGTATGTGATTGAGTGATTCGGGAAGTACGTGAAGACGCTGACTCCTGGACTCCATCTCTTGATACCCTTTGTTGACAAAATCGCATATGTCCATTCTTTGAAAGAAGATGCCATTCACATTCCCGACCAGCCTGCTATTACCATGGACAATGTCAATGTTCAAATTGGTGGAGTTCTATATGTCAAGGCAGGTTATTCTTTTCTGTTCTATTCTAACTAAGGATCGTATTTATTTTTGGTAAATTTACATTTTTTGAGGAGGCGATTGACACCTTGGCTTGATGATTTTGCTCTATTAGAAATGTGATATGAAGCTAATAAAAGTTGATGTTATTCCATCTGCAGATAGTGGACCCTAAGTTGGCTTCATATGGAGTTGAGAACCCTTTGTATGCTGTGATTCAGCTCGCTCAGACAACCATGCGAAGTGAGCTTGGTAAGATTACTCTCGACAAGACTTTCGTGGAAAGGGAGAGCCTAAACGCGAAAATAGTGGTGAGCATTTGGCTTCTAAATATAATTTCCTACTTAATTACTAGTTAGGGTAGATTCATTTCAACCACCGAGTAGAATGTTTCATATACATTAGATAGGTGTCTTCGGCGAAGCTGCAAAACATTGGGGCTTCTATGTACATTATCACATTTTTCTATGTTACAGATTGCTATCGGCGAAGCTGCAAAACATTGGGGCTTACAGTGTCTTCGTTATGAAATAAGTGGGTATATTGAATATTCTGGCTTCTTCTTTTAATTGGTATTTTTATGAGTTCACGTTCGACTTCATTCATTTGCCAAATTCAGGGGATATATCTCCACCGCACGCAGTTAAGGTAGCAATGGAGTTGCAGGCCGAAGCAGAGCGCAAAAAGCGAGCTCAAATTTTAGAATCTGAAGGTACTAATATACTCTTTAATTCAGTGCTTTCTAGAAAGTTTGCTATTGAGATGTCAAGCATACACACACATATGGTTCGTGACACCGTATGGTCTTGTTACTCTTATAGGAGAAAGACAGGCAGATATTAATATTGCAGAAGGCAAGAAGAATGCAATGATTCTTATTGCAGAAGGCAACAAGAGTGCAGTGATTCTTGCATCGGAAGCGGCCATGCTCGACCAAACTAACAGAGCCCAAGGTTGGTTGGAATTTATTACGGGTTATATTAAATACTACGTATATCTCTAATAATTACGGAGTATTATAACAATATGTAGGAGAAGCAAATGGTATCCTTGTAAAAGCAGAGGCAACGGCGAAAGGAATTGCTGTTGTGTCACATGAACTAGAAAAAGTTGGGGGTGTGGAGGTGATCAAATTTCCTTTCATTATATTCACTAAAGAACTTTATTTTTCCACCAAAGAACTATGTGTTTGTGTGTGTGTGTATTAAGGACTAGTTTCTTTTGCTCTTTTACATAATATAGTACATACCTTATTTTGCTTTATTTAATAAGATTGCCATGTTCTCAGGCAGCTAGTTTAAGAGTAGCAGAGCAATATGTCGATGCCTACCGCGCGATTGCCAAACTGGTGACTCTCTCTCTCCCTCAGTCCAAGTTTAATTGTCCAGTTTATTTTACACACACACACACACTATGGAGTATATACGAGTATATAAGTATATATTATTGGTCCGAATGCAGGGAACAACGACAGTTTTCCTTCCATCTGGTGCTTCAGAAACTTCCACTGCAATAGGTCAAGCCTTGACGTTATACAAGACTATGCTAGGCAAAGAAAATGCTGATTGAACAAAGGAAGGAACCAACCGAAAGTATCATCATTTTATTTTGGATAGTAGACATCCGTTTGTTTATGTTAGTGATTTATACTCTTATGGTAAAGAATAAAAAATTTTATGCCATTATTCTTCACTGTCACTTTTGCCCTAGCTGGTTTCAGTTTTTTGTTATTTTGATAAAGGTTCGTTGTTTCAAAATTATTTATTGCTCCGTATAACATAATTGTTTAAGTTAGTCATTCATTGCTTAATTGTCTCAAAAAAATTCCCAAAATATATCCAACTCCGGTTCATTATACTCTGTATTTTAAAAATCTTTGCCGCTTTTTTAAATTTATTATTGTAGCAAATTTGCTTACAATCAATTCGTAGTAGGAAGATAAATGGTCATTAACATCACCCCCGAAAAAACACTGGTCGAACTATAGTCACATAATGATATGAGAGTGAAAGTGGGAGTGACCGTGTAGTTGCTGCCGTTGTCACTTTCGTTGCCTCTGTCGTCTGGAATGTTTGTCATGTACACAACTTTAGACCAGAAAACTCCTTCACAAACGACCCATAATGTACTATTCTATATTTTGGCATCTGTGGAAGTGAAATTATGTGGTTGTTGATTTAAAACTGAAAAAAAAAAGATGCACTACAAACGTTATTCACAAGGCATGAGCAAAACATTTTAGGATGGAGGGAACATATTGTATTCCTAAACAGTCAAAGAGTAGAGTTTTTAATAGACTCTTGTGAACATTATCTATTTCTGGCTTGCTTGCACTGGTGTACAATCAAAATCTGGGCATAAGCATAAAACGTTCTCTTTCCTACAATTCTTACACAAAAATTTAAAAATATAACTGTAAAAAGAAGTAAAAAAGCTATGTGAACTGAATTAAAATTTGTTATGACCCCCCTGCGGATGAGGGAGTCCGCGGCTGTAGAGAGCTTGACTCGCGATAAAATGCAGCAATCAACTTGTCCCTTGTCAGCGGCTCGGGCCCACTGGACTTGACTACCAACGTGTGCAACACTGTATCAGCCCCGGCGATGACTCTGGATTCCGCGACTCTGATGCTTGCCTCTTTCAATGATTGAATGATTCTTGAAAGCGGATGCGTTTCCAGAGGGCACCTGACCTTTACAATGACTTCATCTTTCCCAGCAGCTTCAATATTGACGATGGGAGCTCGGTTTTGAACCTCCCCCAAACTGGGAGTCGTCTCCCTTGAGCTGCCTCCCCCTATTCCTCCTCCTCCCAGCCCTTCCCTCTCCAATTCCAAGTCTTTGAGTTTCTTCTGGAGCTCGGTGATGTAAGCAATGGCATCTCCTAGGAGGGACGCTTTGTCCATCTTGGAAATGTTTGGGACCACTGCTCTCAGCGCGTAGAACCGCTGGTTCAGCTTTTCCCGCCTCTGCCTCTCCGCTTCGACATGGTTGAGAGGCTCTTCCCTTCCATTAGCAGGTTTCCTTCCTCGTTTCCGTGGCCTCTTCTCGTCGGGTGGGCCCGCCTGTTCCTCCTTGCACGAAACTTCGATATCTGAATTCTCGGATTCGACATTAGGCCTCGACGAGATTGCTCCCCCAAAGTCTATTTGTTTCTGTTGATGCATGCTGTTCAACCTACACTCGTCTCTTTCCCCATTCACAATCATCATCTCTTGTAAATTGTTAGCCGGAGGGGCCGGAGCACTATACAACTCCTCTGCTGGCTTCAAGTTACTGAACTGTGGCCAAGACGCACTGTGATGGCCATTTCTTCTTGTATCGAAAAAAGGGGCTCCATTTCCAACTATGTACCCATCCAATGGTCTGTTTTCTTCTTTCCAAAGAGAGTGGCTTTCCTTAGAATGGGAATGAGAACTCAAATCAGCACCAATTTTTTGGGGAAATCCGTTTGGCCTCTCGTTAACAACTGAACTGGAGTAGCTGGAACCATCTCCGTCTTTCTTGCCCCCAAAGAGTGGTGAGAATGAAGAAAAATAAGCTTTGATTGACCGCAGCATGTCTGAGCTCTCTGGTATGGATCTCACCGACCCTAATTCCACGACCCCTACATCAGTTGGAATCAAGACAATGGTTTGCATTCCAGCAGACTTTGCTAGGAACGATCTAACACAGTATTCTGTAGGAGACTTCAAAGCGTCATGTAACCAAAGATGCTTGCCAGATCCAAAACATGTCCCTGGACCACCTTCTCCCTTGGGAAAAGAGAAGTACATTGAGGCAAGAAAGAACATCTCGGTATCAGTCACCCTATCCAATCCAAAAGCAAAGTTCTCTTCGTCTGCCTCCCCAAACATCATGTGCAGCTTCTGGATAATACTCTTCTTCATCCTCTGCCCGGACTCGTCCTCCGGGCACAGATTCAGAAACCGGGCGGCACCTTGACACACCTCCACCTCGTCGGGCTCCCTACAACAACCATCCCCCCACCCCAGCACAAGTTCCCCCGAGTTAGAACGAGAAAGCTGCCAGAATATTGCATAATTCCAACTAAAATTACTAGCGTCCGGATTCTCCACAAGATCTGAAAGCTTCACCTGCAAATTCTCATCATTTCCCACCGCCATTAATGAGCACTGAGCCGAAACAGAGCTCGAAATCAAGTAATCAGAAGCCTTCGTTCCCAGCACTGCGGCCAACATACACTTGTCTTCATCACTCCACGACAAGTTCGCCATACCCATCTCTGTAATCATTTCTCTAACAAAACCCCTAGAGCAACACCTCCAAAAACCCAATTTATAGATAACTAACGCAGACGATAACAGACAATGAATTGAACAGAGATGGCAAAAAAACTCTGCTTAATCACAATAATAAGTGAAAATCCCAACGAATGACAGCCAAATATCGGCTTTCGAACAAATAAATGGTCTTCTTCTTCAAAAATACTGAATCAGCCAAAGCTATATTTTCAGATCTCGAAATTCTTCATACATGAATTAGAATGGACCCGAAAAGGACAAACTTTCCGTGCCCCAATGCACAAATATGGATGCTACTCAACAATTGAAGAAGAAATGAAAAAGAATACAGACACCGGATAGCGACCTCGAATTGCAGTGCATACGACTTCCATTGATGCTCCTCGTGGGTCGAAGATTGGCAATTCTCTGATGACGGGCATTTTATTTGATTTATTCTCTGGGAGAGTTTTATCTTGTTTATCTCCCAAGGGGAGAGAGAGAGACGCGTTTGGCACTTCGGATGATGCTTTTCTTTTTTTCTTAATGCCAAAAACCAATTGTATGTACATATGTCAATGACTAATGAGAAAAAAACCTTGAAATATGTGAATTTATTTATCATTAATTCAAATAACTAGAGTCAAGATTCAATCAATCCCCAACCACATTCATTTTGATTCAACACTTTGTGCAATAATATTTGGTCATCATCATCAAGCACTTAGCTATTTGTATAATATTCTTATTTTGATTTGTGTAAGTGTTTAAATTTAAACTCTTCATTGTAAATAATGTCTCATCTTTTTATATACAAAGCAAATGTGGTGAAAATGAACAGTGCCATTTCCCGCCTAAATGAACAGTGATTTCGAGTTGGGCCTACATGCTGTCAAAGGGCTTGCAAGTGGAGGTAAAACTTTATGGGGTAATGTGATTAGTGTGTACATTGAGCCACGTAAAATGTGAAAGAGAAAAGGCATACATTGAGCTACGTGAAATGGAAAAGAGAAAAAGCATACATTGAGCCATGTGAAATGGAAAAGAGAAAAAACATGCATTGAGCCACGTGAAATTAATTGTGAAACATTGGAGAGTGTGTAATCTTTTTTTCTATTTTAAGTGAACATCCTTGAATATAAAAGCAAGACCATCTCCCCTTTTAATAACCAAACCAAGCTTGCCAATTCTAAATTTAAAAAAATTGTCTTCCATCGCAATTTCATCCGGGATTTGGACCAAGCTTGCCGATATTGATAGAGATCGAAGCAAGATGGTCATTCATGTGAGAGCAATTCATGTGTACGAAATAAGTTCATTTGGTAGAATTGACGAATCAATGGAGGTGATTTTTCATGACGATCAAGTATGTTACTTCAATTCCAGTATTTAGTCATATACAACTTTATGTTGCAGTCTCTCGAGTAACAAATCGTCGTGGTTTAAAAGTGTTAATTTGCAAGGACGATATAGCCGATGTGAATACCACATCAAATGTGGTTTACAAAGAAGTTTTTCAGAACCTTTAATTTTTTCTAATATGTACTTTTCTAACAACATTCCGCAATTTCATTTTGTTATGTTTGAAATATTTACAATAACATCAAATACTTTAATTATTACTTCTCATTTTCTAATTTAGGTCAAATTACCACATTATTACACTTTATCAAATTACTAGCCGTGCAACGCACGGGTACGGAACTAGTATTCCTAAATGTAACAACAAGGAGATAAATTTAAGTAGAAAGAAGAATAAAAAATATCATATCTTTTTTATTAAAAACACGCTTCATTAATGAATTGTTATGCAAAATACAAATCATGAGTAGAAACTCACACACTTCTTCGGATTCACTCCCGCCTAGCAAGAGTATAAGGCACAACATTAGTCTCACTATAAACAAACAAAATATATCTTACGGTGATTTCGAGTTGGGCATAATCATTGAGTATTTATCTTTTATTTCTTAACAACTCTTACAATTACTAAAGATGAGCTAAATGGAAATTTATTTTTAGACTAGCATTTTCTCAATTGCTCAATCCAATACACCCCGCAGAGTTTATTGATTTCGAAAGGAAATCTTTGGACCTCAGAGTCAGCAAAATCTGCAGCATACAATTGGACGGGTGCGAAAGTATGTTATGGCGGGACCAAATTTTAGATGTTTGAAGGTAAAAAGATTAGGGATACTCCGTATAATTCATCTATCTTTCAATTATAACAATGGAGAATGTAGTTATGACACTGGAAGTGAGTATGATAGTAATCTAGTTTTTATCAAAATCAATAAAAGGAAAAAAAAGGAGTGTGTATGTTGTAATTGATTTGGGACCGTGAAAATTCAGCTTTTAACACATGAAAAACAACCATGATCTTATCCAGCAAATACTCCTACGAGAGGAGTTGATGCATCAAAAGCCCCTCGTGACCACTTAGATATGTTGGCACACATGCATTAAATTAGTGGGTAACGGGGGAAAGGATTGGCTTTAATTCCACCGTGCATAGCGACTTGATGGTTGACTGACTTCGGCTTTGGTTAATGTGAAAATCTCCACCAAATCTAGAATCACATACACATATTCATACTACAATGTTTTTGGATTCCCTTACTAATTGGGCCGACTTCTCAGTTGGGCTGGGCCGTCCACATGGTGGGGCCTTTTTCCCAACTATGAATAAATAAAAGACGACGTCGTATTTGGTTTCTCCAGAAATCATTCAGAGATGGGCAGCACCTCTGCCACAGCACCACCATGGAAGCACCTTCTTCTCAATTCTCTCAGCTCGAATTCCCACCTCAAGCACGCCATCTACCTTCAACTCGTAATTATACAACACCCCACCCACCCACATATCAATCACCTTCTTTTTTTTGCCAGTTTTTCTCCCTCTATTTTATTCATTCATTTATTTATCCACTGGTGTTTTGTATCGATTTTTCTCCTTCAGGCGACAGTTGGACCAAATGGCAGACCCTCAAATCGTACCGTCGTCTTCAGGTCTCCATCTGATTTACTCCTTTAAATGTTTATGAAGCTACTGCGAGTGCACTTTTTTCTATAAAAATACGGATTAGGTTTTTTCCTTGGCTTAATTGGTTGGGTCATTTTCTCTTCTCTCAGAGGTTTTGCAGATAACAGTGATAAGATACAAATTAACACCGACTCCCGAACCCGAAAGGTTGGTTGGTTGGTTCTCCAGAGAAGAGTTTATAGTAGTATTCCATGAGTATATACTTTTTCTTTGATGATGCTGATTTGATTTGATGCAGATGGAAGAGCTAAGGCATTGCCCATTTGCAGAGGTAACGAAGACCCGAGGTTTTACCTTTGAGATTGTTTGTCTGTACTTTGAACTTTGGAACAATCTGGTTGAACTAGTTTCTCTCTAATCATATTGTTGGTTCCAATTTGATTCTCTGCTCTGTTTGCTTTGCCTTTTTCATTGTAACTATAAGTTCAATGCCGTGATGTTTCAGATATGCTGGTACTTTACTGATTCATGGGAGCAGTATCGAATAAATGGAAGAGTAGATGTCATTGATGCATCAAATCCCAATCCAGATAAGCTTCGGGTAATGCTAGAGATGAACGAACATATAACGTTGCGTTTTCATACTATCAATGGAAAACTAAAAACCTCGCGTTCTGTACTACCTTATTCCATTTGAGTGCAAATAATGTGAGATAATCCGTACTACTATATATTTGCCGCGTTAAGGAGGCCGTCTCACTGTCTCATGCGAGGCGGGTTCACAGTGAGACATGACCAAAACACAACACAAGATTCGTCCCGGGAGGAGGACGAGGAGGAGGAGGACAGAGTAGTTAGCAATGGTGGCTCGCTTTGCAATTTACACTTTACACTCGTAATTGACATTGTTATATGCAAAGTTCTGATCTCCACGCATAATCAGAATGATTGAATCTTTGAACTACTTATTTGACTAGAAATTATCAGTTTGCGCATGACACAAGTATATTGCTTTATGTAATTTTCATAAACAAACTGGTTAAAATGTGTTTTTTTGGTTATGAGTATGCACATGCAGCAAAGAGAGAGAGCCTGGTTTGAGAGTTCACTGAGGTCAAGAATGCAGTATTTAGGACCTAGTCCCGGACTTCCTTCTCTGAACGATCAATCATCTCAAGAGCCTACATTGGATCCTTCTGCTGGTCCAGTTGATGCATTTTGCCTGCTTGTTTTGGATCCCGAGCAGGTTATTTCCCCCCGGAAGTAATGCTAATTTAAAATAAACAGCATCAACTCCTAAATTTCAGATGATGGTAATTGCATATGTACCTTAAATTAGTCATACATAGTTGAAACTCTCGTCACATTTGTGCGCAGGTTGACATCTTGAACTTGAAGAGCAATAGAAGGCTAGCATTTGCGTCCCGATGCAGCAGCATCAATGGAGAGAAGACTTGGACATCAACTGAGATCAACCCGTAACTCGTACATACAGTTGAAAATTTACCAATTCAAACCACAATACACTTGTACAAAACTGATATGTCTTGAGATATTCAGGGTGGAACTCTAAGAGCATATACGTATGCGGTACTCTGTCTATTTGTGAACTTCAATAAAAAAATAAAGTGAGAATTTAAATCATAAATGGTAAGTTTGTGACCATTTTGTTTTGTACCTAGCATTGTTCTACACAAATACTCCCTTCGTTTCTCACAAAAGTTCCTCTTTTGACTTTAGGGGGAAATAAGGAAGTGTTAAATTGTAGTTGACTTTCCAATTTTGCCATTGATGTGATGGATAAAAGTAAGATGCGATAGTTTAGTTGTTAGTGAAAAGTATGATGTGATAGGTAGGGTATGAAAAAGTAGAGGTAAAAGTGGTTTTTTAATAGAGAAGGGAAGTGTTTTAAGAAAAATAAAAAAAAATAAAAGAGGAAGGTTTTTAAGAAACGGAGGGAATATGTCTATCTACATATATGCTATGAACTAGTCGATGATTCTAACGTTCAAGATACGAGCCTTATGATCGGTGATAAATGAAATATAAGGATACTCTTTCGACGAACGGTCAATGAAAGGAACATCAATATCTCACTTCAAGCCTCCTAATCTTTAAAATTGCGTATTCTTGCGACAACATGTCGACACTTTGGTATTTTAGCTATGTTTCCTTCATTATTTCTTGGAATTGCCAAGCGTTCAATGTTTTATTCTTAAAATGTACGCAAGTTACAATTACTATGGAATGTCATTATACAATACCACATTATTATCGTGCAAATTTCTATTTTAAAAATAAAAACTTGAAAAAAAATGCTACGGAGTACTTACATACTCTGTATGTTTTATTTTTATTTGAGATGATTTGTTTTATACGAGGTACATTACTAAAAACACATGGATTGAAAAAGAAATTATATTGTATAAATATATAAATTTCTCGCTTGGCTCTAGTTGTAAGAAGTTTTCTCTCCAAAATTATGAGAAGATTCAATCAGGTTCGAGCTCTAGTGGAGACAAAGTTGTTAGCTCTTTGTGCGTCATTATATTAGGAAAAATATGAATAAATATAATATTATAATAGAATTATTAACACTTTTTTTAAAAAAAGAATAACTAAAACTCAAAAAGAATATTGTACATAAGGTTTGACCAAATTTATATTCAATTTAATATTTAATTGCAGATGTAAAATTAAAAAATAAACTATATATATTTAAAAAAATGTAGAAAATAATTAAAGTCTGAGATATGAATACTCCGTAATAATTAAAAAAAACTTTATTTTAAATTTGAGACGGTATATTAGAAGATTAGTTTCAGTTAATGCTTTGTAGAACGATGGAAGACGGTAGCACCACGGCCCCGTCGGCATGGCGGGTCGACATCGGCGACCGTTTACCGCTGCGACTGGCCAAATCTGAGATCATTCCACCTGCTCCAAACCGATCCAAATCCGGCTCCGAATTCGAACCCGCAATCGACTGGTTATTGGACTTCGCCGGGTACTCATGGATTGCCTACGGCGCATCGTCCCTCCTGGTGATCACGCACCTCCCCAACCCTCTACAAGAGAGGGAAACCGCAATAGGATCCATTTTACGCCAAGTCTTCGAGCTGTCTGCGGACGGCACGGGCACAGTTTCAGCAGTAGCCTGGTCGCCGGCTACACCCTCTTCCGGCGACCTAGCCGCCTCTCTGGATAATTGTATTGGATTGTTTTCGTTCCAGCCACTTGCTTCCAGCAGTAAGTTTTCTGCTATCTCTACTCTCTTTACTCAAGTTGAAACGGCCTTGCTTTCAAAGTTTTACCCCATCAAAGCATTGACTCTCTGTCCTTGAGAAAGTATTTATGAAAACATACTACATTGTCATAGTCTTGAAGAATTTTTATAGGTCGAGGTTTAGTAGGATTGAAATATGGTAGGTATTGTATCTCATTAGTTTTCTTATTTTATTTATTTGCTTGTTCTCTTACCAACCTACTCTGGTTCTATCACTTTTGAGCTGATGAAATGATCTCTCCACCCCACAGGGGTTGATGTAAAATCGGCTTACATTCTATACCACGGTACCACCCACACCTCACCTCACCTGTGGGATCACAATGGCTTTGTTGTTGTACTCTTCTTTTGATTGTGTTTCACTTTCTTGATCACGATCTCTTACTAATTAAGAAGATTGAGAAGAATGATAACATTGCATTTATTTCTCCCAGGAGAAATGTTTTAATACTGATTTTTTCCCGGGAGAATCCTTCTTTGCACTAGAAACACTTTGAAGTGTGAAACAACAACAACTTAGTTGAATCCCACAAGAGTAGGGTCTGGAGTCCCACTAAGTATGGAAATCCCCTGTTATAAAGGATCAATTATGGAATTTACGCTAAATACCACATAAATAAACTGAGGTACAACGTAACCACAATAACTTTTTAAAATTTAACATTTTACTATTTATGCTAACTTTATATTCTTATGAAAAAAATTTGCAAAAGTTGATTTTTTTGTGTATGAAATGAAAATACTTTTTGTTTATCTTAAAGACTTTGATTAAGATAACATGATTATGAATATAATAATAATAACTTATAATAATAAGTTAATATTAATGACAATTTTTTAAAGTTTTTTTGGATTTTCTAATTTTTTCCAGTTTTTTCCAGTTCCATCTAATATCTTCCAGTTCTTTCTAGTTTCTTTTAGTTCTTTCCAACTCCTTCCGGTTTCTTCCAATTTCTTCTAGGTTCTTCCAACATCCAGCTCTATTTTTCCAGCCCTAAAGAACATGCCCTAAATATTATTTTTCTCTTTTTTAACTTAACCACAGCCACACAACTTCCACTTTCTCAAATCCCGGCAATGATTTAGAGATAAATGGATTAAAATACTCTGTATTTTAATAATTTTATTCATTGATAGTATACATTTAATTGTGAAATTCATGCACTTTTATGAATATACTAGCACTCTTTTGGAACTTCAGGTATCTTTACTCACTTTTAGAATGGTTCTATGTGCCTAACTGCATCACAAGTTTATAAAATTTCTTCCTGCACTCCTTTCCTCCCCGCTTATATAGTTGTATATAAAAGATATTGACTCATATTCAGGTTCTTTTTGTTGGAGCCAGACTACAGTTTTGGTGCAACCTGCAAAGGTGGATGCAATAAAATGGACAGGATCTGGAGATGGGATAGTATCAGCTGGCATGGAGATAGTCTTATGGCAAAAAAAGGAGAGGTCCTGGGAAATGGCATGGAAGTTTAAACCAGAAGTCCCACAGATTTTAGTGTCTGCCACTTGGTCAATTGAAGGACCTTTGGCGACAGCACCTCTGCATGGCTTGCAAGTTGAAGATACAGATTTTCATATCTGCAAGGATAAGAAATCTGTATTAGTTTGTCAAGGAGATAAAGATTCACGACTTGCACATGCCGTGCTTCCTCATCCCCAACCTGTATCTATGATTCAATGGAGACCATCTGTGTCACTAGAGTCAAATAAAGATGGCAGAATCTTCAAGAGGTTACTGCTGTTAACTTGTTGTCTGGACGGGGCTGTAAGATTGTGGAGTGACATGGATGATGGAAGGTTGAAAAAGCTTTTTAAAAAAAATGACCGCAAGGTTACTGGATTATCTTTTCAAGTGGTTGCTGTGGTTGAGGTGAATCAACCATTGATCGGAAAACTGGGATGTGATATATTTGTAAGATGGACAACAGATATCGATGGTGTTGTTAATATCAGAGGAAAAACTGACTTTTATTCTGCTTTTGAGAAAGACCAACACGACAAGGTTGGTAAGTGTGAATGGTTAATTGCACATGGTCCTAGAAATAATTTGACTCTTTGGACTGTTCACTGTCTCGATGATATAGCTCCAGTGAGATTCCCGAGGATTACCCTATGGAATAGCAAGGAAATAAACTATCCAGAAGTGAACTCAAAAGGTTTGGTTCTTAATAATGTTTTTATCATGAGGAATCAGATCTTTGGACCACCAATAATTTGTTCTTGGATTGAGCTACTACCTTGTAACTCTCTGGCCTGGATACATTTATATTCCTCAAGGTCAACTGTTGAGGAAAAAGGATCTTCAAGATCAAGTATTGAAGATGGATCGTCGGATAAATGTCAGAGTGATATCTTATCATTTTGTTCTAGAGGAATTTCGAATGCTGACAGTCATTGGGATACAATTTTACAAGTTGCAGTTCATCCTTGTTCATTTGAATTTGAACTTGCTGTCGCTCTTGGTACAAATGGAATGCTCCAATTTTGGAGATTTTCTGCTACTTCTGATGGTGTCATGCCAACTTTAAGTCCATCCTGGAAATGTTCTGAGAAAAGCTATGTTCAACAATGCCATTCAGGGTTCTCTTGCTTGAATTGGGGACCTGCAATCTCAGATGAAGAATGGGTCCTTTTTGTTGGGCATTGTGATGGTGTAGATATCTATATTGTCACCTCAAGAAATGCAGAAAAGAGATTAATGTGTCATAACATATGCACTGTCCCTCTTTTGAATGAAGGCCATGAAGAGGGTCCAAATACTGTCTGCTCAATTTCTTTGCCTTCTACTGGCAATGGAATGTCCGTTTATAATAATTTCTTACTATTATCCGTGTGGAAGGGTGCCACACAGGCTGTTTCATGGAAAATTAGCTTACATCATTATGATTCTTCAAGAATGTCTTGCAACTGCAATTTTGGGATGCCAAGTAATGTTGAAAATAGTATGTGCGGATTCAAAAGTAGTTGTAGCGGTAAGAGATACTGCGTCTCTGTTGAACCTTGCTCATCACGATTCCCTGCTCCATACAACCACGAACTAGTGTCTAGCTTTGCGGTACATTGTCCAACTAGTAATGTTTTGAGCATGACACAGGATTCTGTTAATGAGAAGTCTAGCACCCCCTCTACTTATCACATGATCACTGGTTGCAGTGATGGAAGTTTAAAATTCTGGAGAAGCATGCTTGGTAAAAGCTTGGATTCACAGTGGGATCTTGTTGGCATGCTTTGTACTCATTGTGGTCCGGTTCTTGCAATATCTTCAAGCTCTTGTGGTAGGAAGATTGCAACAATCTCCAAAGTTGATAAAGCAACTACTAGTAACCTTCAAATATGGGAATGTGTGCACCTCGTGGATGAAGGTACCTTCATCCTTGAAGATACTTTGTGTCTTGATGCAGAAGTGGTTGCACTAAATTGGCTGACAATAGGAAATGGTCACTTGTTACTGGGTGTTTGTACAAGTAATAGGTTGCAGGTATATGGTCAAAGACGTTGCGGTGGCCATTTTATTATGAAGCCGGATAAGTATTTAGAGGGAAGCATCTGGGTCTGTATTGCTGAATCTCACACTAAAGCCATCATTCATGACTTCATTTGGGGGCCAAAAGCCACAATTGTGGTTGTTCATGAGGAGTATTTTTCTCTCTATAGCAGGCTGTTATTTTTGAAGGATTGTAAACGTCAATCCATTATTTTCGAACAAATTAACGGAGATAGTTGCTGTAATGGATCTGACAAAGTGTCACCCAGGTCGTCATGTGATGGGTTTGATGATGGTCAACAGTGCTCGTTTAGATCCCCTATGAAGATGAACTTGGTACATGAAATTATCCACAATGTCAATGTCAGAAGCTCTGAAAAGGAGTGCAACTCATTGACAAATATTGGCATTTGGAGCATGCTAGAGTTGGTGGAAATATTGGGAGGACCAGTACCTGTCATTCACCCGGATGCTCTTCTTGTGAACCTACTTTCAGGTGTTCTCAAATGGTGTGATTTGCATGGTTTCTTCCCTTTTTCCTGATCATGCTCATCCATTTTCTTTATCATACAACCACAGAGGAATTATTGCAATCAATTTTGAACATGAGTTTATGATGCTTTCAGGTCATTGGAAACGCCTCCATGTAGCTCTGGAGTGTCTCACTGAACACATTAGTTGTAAAAGAAAATCAAAGAGATCCTGTTATCAAAATTTTGGCTGTTTCACAATACCTGTTCCATTGTCAAATTATCTTGAAGGATCCACACTGCAAAGTTCAGCCGATAAGTCCTTCCAATGGAGTGGTGATATTGCATCTTCAAAGGCACAAGGGCCATATCAATCTGTCTCTAGTTTAGGTTCCGATGAAACTCATACTTCCTCAACAAGATCTGATATGTTGTCCATCATTGAATCAGTTGATAAATTATCCAAGTGTACAATCATGTCCAGCACTGAAATGATGCATTGTCGTGCTGCTATAACTCTTCTGCAAGAAATTAGTGATACAGACATGGCATCTCCTTATGGAAGTCTTGATGGACCAGGTCGAAGGTATTAAGTTCAGTTCTTGTAGTGTTACCAATCCATTAAGCTTGTGTTGTTATGTCTGCTGATCTGACCATCTGTGTTACAGGATTATTATTGTTATATGGCTGATCATGCAGCGAGCTTCTTTTTTACTTTTTTCTTGTGTTTGTGTTTTTACTTTACAGTTTACACGTCTTTTCAATGCTTGGGCTCAATGATACCGGCCTTTCATTTTTGTGATGCACCTAGTATTAATCCTAATTACGATTCATAACTTATGACGATTTATCTATTTTTTGTGGTGCACCTAGTCACTGCTTCATCTATTTCCTCAGGTTCTGGGTTGCAATGAGGTTTCAACAGCTATATTTTGTTGAAAGATATCATAGGTCACCATTGGTAGGAGAGCTGGTTGCTCAGTCAGCATTAATTGGTTGGGCTTTTCATTCTGCTTGCCAAGAGACTTTATTTGATTCTCTCATATCTAATGATCCTTCTTGGCAAGAAATGCGTGATCTAGGAATTGGGTTCTGGTTTACAAATGTCACACAGCTACGATCAAAGGTATTCAGTTCAATGAACTGAAAATTATATTATACCTACCTCATTAAATGTCTATCATGCTGCAGTCCAATTATTTCTATTTAGAAGATATAACACCTCGCGTGAATGATCTTGCTCTAGATATGATACATGATAGGGTGGAATGGCATCGTTTTATCCATGTAGCCGACCCACCTAGTGGGATAAGACTTAGTTGTTGTAGATGATATAACACCTGTTATTGTTGTGTCTTGAGTCTCTTGACGTAAACTATGCAAATACTTAAGCCATTTGGACCTGGAGACGTGATTATTTTTCTCTATTTGTGTCCTTTTGCTAGTTCAAAAGGAGGTAAGTATAGCTGCATTGCAATTTGGCATCTCGTGCTTTGTTGTCCCTGGACATATTTTTTATATTACAACACACACACATAAAGACACACACAGGAATAATTTAAATATTATACGAATCTAATATATCTTTATTCATATTCAAATAAATTCAAACAATAAAACCAGATTGGGATTTGTGTTTGATTTGATTGAATAAGAGTCATCATTTTCAAATACGGATCCCGAACCAGATTAAAAATAGTTTATTCACATACATCCCTACTCTGTTTCACATTGTGTTGCTTCTCTGGATCAGTATTCAAGCACTTGCAAAGCATCACATTCTCATCTGTGAAGTGTACATTTTAGGCACTAGAAAAGATACATCTTTGATAATGCATAGTTATCACGGTGCCAAGGTGCGACGCCAGCGAACCACCAGGACACCTAGTCGACCACCTAGGCGACAATTATGCGACTAGTTGTAAATGATAAATATAGTACTCGTAACATTAATACAAATATACCATAATTCATATAAGATATGGTTCTTCAATAGGAAGATGCTAGCACATGTTCTTCTTCTTGACAGTATGCTCATCTTATTATTGTGTATAATATTCCTACATTTTAGGCACTTGAAAAGATACACGCTTCTTTTGTTGTATTGTATAATACAGAGTATTCTTCTGCAATTTATGGAGCATATTATTTTTAGATCACATGAGATGTACATAAGGCAGATGCTACTGTTTATTACCCATTATCATGTTGTCCTAACATTTAATTTTTCTTTATTCTACATATAGATGGAGAAGCTGGCAAAACAACAATATTTTAAAAATAGAGACCCCAAGGCATGCACACTTCTTTACATTGCTTTGAACAGAATTCAAGTTTTGACAGGTCTTTTCAAAATAAGCAAAGATGAAACGGACAAGCCTTTGGCGGGTTTTCTTTCCCGCAATTTTCAGGTACAGTATAGTGTATACTCCTTTTATCGATACAAGCATAATCCTTTTCCAATAGTTTAGTAAGTTTAACAGTTTCATTGCTTCTCTTATTAATTTATCATTAGCATACTTTTCATGGATATAATTAAATTAGATTTAGTTATAAAATAAAACTAATAAACTTGAAGTCCCTCTAGCTTCAGTTGATATACCATTTGGTCACACACTTGTGTGCTTGTTACAGACTTACAGTAATTGTGCTCTAGCTTTGCAAAACCTGCATTTATTGTTAAGAATTGAGAATAGTAATACTTTTGCTATTGATTTCTGTATCCCAGAATGGGTATACATGGTGAGTCGAGAATCATACAAGTATGCTAGGAATCAAAACTTACCATAACTCTTTTCCTACCATAAAAAAACTTCTAAATCATGGAAGAAAACAAAAAACAGTAATATTATACTCCATTCTGTTAATTGCTCTGCTCTGTTTAACATCTATCTTGCCTTGTTCTTATTTTCCCGTCTTCTGTCTTTTTTTTCTTAGTGCGTTATGTTGATCACTTTAAGTTCTACCGACTGAAATTCATAGCAAGAAGTTTTGACTTTTAAATTACAATCAGTCTAATGAATAATACAGAGTACTATTTTTTATATGTGGAACTAGGAAAACTGAATGTTGTGATAACTGTAACTGTATTATGATTTTTTTTGTTCAAATAAACAAATTTTGCAACTTGGTTTTTCAGGAAGATATAAATAAGGCAGCAGCTCTGAAGAATGCATATGTTTTATTGAGTAAACATAAACTTGAACTTGCAGTTGCATTCTTTTTGCTTGGTGGTGACATGACATCTGCTGTCACTGTGTGTGTGAAGAACCTAAGGGATGAGCAGCTTGCACTTGTCATCTGTCATCTTGTTGAAGGGTATGGTGGGCCATTAGAGCATTTCATTGTGATGAAATTGCTTCTTCCATCTGCAGTTGCCAAAGGGGATTACTGGCTTGCCAGTTTCTTGGAGGTATTGATCAATTCATTATTATGATTCAACAGGAAAAATCTTTTATTCTAGGTTCTCTTTTTGCTTAAAAGATAAGTGCACACACAATACTTTCATTTGCAGTGGATATTAGGAAACTATTCACAATCTTACCTGAGAATGCTAGCTGTCCAAATGGAGCCACGTCGCAACAAGTATTTCCTATCGTCACACCAAGATGCTTTTTTAGACCCAAGCATTGGACAATACTGCCTTATGTTATCAGCAAAGACTTGCATGAGACATGCTATTGGTGACAAAAATGCTGCAGCCTTGGGTAAATGGGCAATTTTGATGTGTGCTACTGCCTTAAGCAGATGTGGTCTGCCTGTAAGTTTATGCTTGGAGTGTTCCCCTGAATTTGCTATTTTTAGATGAACATTTTGCCTAAATTTTTAGTTTATTCTTGTAAACATCTACATGCATCATATTGTGGTAATGGTAACTCTTACTATACTTTGGTTGGGTGTGCATGAAATGTAAAATTTTCAGAAATGCATGGATGCTCAAATTTTCACTGATTACTTTACCATGTCACTGTTTCTAGTTGGGTGTAGAATAGGCAAAATATGTTTTATTTCCAACTTGCTTGACCTAACCTACTAAGGCTTGTTAGATTTAATTGTGTTTGTTTACATGCAACCATATGGGTAGTGGGTCAATGTTTGGTCAGTATGGAGCCGGTTATTATAAGGAGTTGGTTAGTGTGTTTTACATATTTAATTTATTTTTTTAAAAGCAGTTGGGTAGTTTCTAAAAGCTGTTACAGGTAGTTTCTAATATAAATAGGTGTCTTGGCTTGTAATAGATGTGTTGGTTTGTAAGAAATGTATGGGTTTGTAAGAGTTGTGTTGGCTGTCTTATATAAATGCTAAAGAACACAATGAATCCAATTAGGTTACCACAAAAAAAGTGTTATGTTCTTTCATTTTTTCTTTTCTTCTCACAAGGTTTTGGGTTATAAATTTATGTTCTATTGCTTAATTGTGTTTTGGCCAATAACCTTGTGGTCAAGCGGCATAACTGTGACTCTTCCAATGAGAGGTCACAGGTTCAAACCCCAACAGGGGTGTTTGTGCTGCTTGAGTAGGTTGATAAAGTATGAACGGATAGATACTACATTTTAATAAAGTCAATAGTACTAAAAAAGTTGTTTTTCTGTTTGGCGAAATTCAGAATTAATAATGTCTTACTTCTGAATACCATCGAATATCTTGTTGGTTGTCTCGAATCTCGATGTGAAATTTTGTTTTGTTTGTTTTTTCCTTTGAAGCTTATTCTTTCAAGATGCCAATGGGAGTCTTGATTTCAAATTATTTAATGCCTTTGTACTTTTTCCATAATAGCTTGAAGCTTTGGAGTGCCTTTCTTCTTCACTCAACATCTTTGGCAGTTCGACTCTAGGAAACATACCACACAATGCAGACTCTGAACCTCTAAATGTCGGACTTCTGGAATTGTTATTAAATAAGAGTATGTCAAACTGGATATCTGACAATGTAGCTTTTGATGTGCGATCACATTCAAGACTAGATTTTGCTATGCAGTACATATCAGAGTTGTTGAAAAAACATCCATGCTGGGTGGACGTCAATACGAGACATCTTCAAGCATATACTTACACTGATCCTGAGTATCATGACTGCAATAGATTACTTGATACGTTCCAGGGCGAATTAATGAAAACAGTTTCATGCTTTCAGCAGAAGTTCTCTATGAATTCTATTGATCTTATGAACATGGTATAGTTGCCACTCGCCACTGATCTTGTCTTTATCCATCAATTATTTTTTTTGCAACTGATTAAATTTTCTCATGCAATTTTTTATACAGATATTTTTGGCTCTCAGCAACAACAGTTTGGATTGCATTGGATATAGTCTGTTACAAAACTATAATAGCAAATACACTTCAGATGAGCAAGAAAGTTTTGGTATTTGCTTCCAGGATGCTCCTCTTCGCAAACGACTTCTGAAGGCTGCTGAGGAAGTACCACATGCACTTTCTAGGTTCATCATTGTGTGTGGCATGAGTTATTTCTATCCAGAATCATATGCAGGGAGAGATGATGTGGCTAGCACACATGGATTTGGTTTGATTAAACCTTTGGAGTTTTACAAGTGGAGTTTCATTTGGTCATTGTGGTGGCTTAGAGAAATGATGGTGCTGTTTTTTCTTTCCTTAAAGCATGCTTTTTCTAGAAATCATTTCACTGTCCTCAATATATGTGAGATATTCTTATATTTTTCCTCATTTTGGGTTCAAAGGAATTTAAGGGGTCTTACTATGATTTTGACGCCTCTCATAGTTGCATGTGATGATGGATATGCTTCTCATGAGATCAATTTAGAGGATCTCCTGGAAACCCTTATCCAGAATTCTAAAACTATGACTTATGACACTCCATCTGTTGATGCAGCATCTCTTCATATTAATGATGGGAAATTACATAAAGAGGTTGTAGATCTATTGTTATCGGTTCCAAATGAAAGGAGACGGCAAACCATGGGTCTTTCTTTATGGGGGACTGTATCTAATAGTCTGGAAAATCAGCTACGAATCATACATCCTGAACCTAGAGGTTGTATATTTGATCCCCAAAAACCATTGTCTTCATCCATCCTCGAAGGTACCTTCCAGGTTGATATGCTTTCAATACTTGCAAGATTGTTGAAGGAAACTTGTGGACATATATCTGCTTACTGTGAAAAACAATTAGCATCATTAATGCTGGAAGGAGTATCAAGAAGTGTTCCTTTGAGCCATGAATATAAATATCTTGCTAAGAATTCGGATCATATAATTGACAGTGTGGATATTATGTCAAATGAAGATGAGTTATCATCTCCAAAGATGTTTTGGACTCTCTGCACTGAGCTTTTGAAAGTTAAGGGAGACTTTTTACAAGAGCATGCAAATTTATTGAAGTTTTTTACGCAGAAGTCCTTGAATGAGTGGCATGATGTGTATCCAAATATTATAAGGGATTGCGAAGCTGAGGAAGCTTTTGAGAAAGAAGATAGGCTTGACAGTCCTAGTAGTGCTGCTGGATCTCCTCTTGCATGTCTATCTCCTAATGATCACCCCTTTTTAAATTCGGGTGGAAAATATCCAGATCACCGGGAACAGATTTTTCCTTTCAATAATCCTAAAGAAATATGTAGAAGAAATGGAGAACTCTTGGAGGTGCCTCTTCATCATAAACAATATTTTTTTTCCTAGAAACTGATTACAATTTTTTAACATAAGTCTCGATATTCTGTTTTTAAATGATAATCTCAAATATCCTGTGGGGTTCAGCTGGGTTGTTATTGTTGCTGTTATCTCAAATGTCCTATATTTTGCAGGCTCTGTGCATTAACTCTGTTGATGGATGTCAAACTGCTCTTGCTAGCAATCGGAAGGTGAGATTGTCTGAAATTCGTAAACACTCACTTAATTGAAGCATAATACTCCATTGATGACAAACCCCCACAAAGCTCACGAATCATGACCCAAACAGTTTTGAAAACTTTAAACTGACACTAAGCTCACCACTTATTACTGCAAATATCACCACCCATAGTACAAAGCTCACAACCCAATACTGCAAAACTCACCGCCCAAACAGTTCTAAAAAATTTAAAGAAACTAAATTTTTTAAGTACACAGCTCAGTAAAGACTACTGAAAACACAACATATCTAGTAAAATCCCACAAGTAGGGGTTGCAGACCTTATCCCTACCTAGATAGATTGAGAGGTTGTTGAAACCACAAACAAAAGGGCCACCAAACAATCATCTCACTAAACCTAATCAATCTAAAATGGCCTAAACACAATGAACCACTGATATCTAGGCCTACCCTACCACTTTACTATCTATGATCATGTCCTCTCTCATTGAGTTTGAGAAACTGCATGTCCTCTATAATACACTGCAAAAATGTATACAAACAGCTTTGAGAAATTATTTTGGCTGTGAGCTTTGCAGTATTTTGGGTGGTGAGCTTTTATGTCATCTAATGGGAAGGTTTCAAGTCTGAGGACAAGCTATTTAACTCCTGAAGATTCTTATTACAATTGGTTTTCGTATTAATACAGGGCATAATATTCTTTAATTGGGAGGATCGACTGTCATATGTAGATAAATCGGATTATCTATGGGCAAAGGCTGACTGGCCATGTAGTGACTGGGCTGGAGATGAGGCCACATCGACTACCTCACATGTTTCACCTGTACTTGGGATGAGGAAGAAAACACCATTGCAGGAGCTTGGTGGAGCAACAATTGGTGTAGGTTCTTTGACAATACCCAAGAAAGAGTTTACAAGCAGTGTAACATTTGGAGTTCCGGGCTATGCTGGTATCACTTCTGGCATTGGTTGGGGATTTCAAGAAGACTTTGATGAGTGTGTTAACCTGCCTGTTACAGCAGAAAATATTAGAACAAGGGCATTCTCAACTCACCCTTCGAGGCCCTTGTTTTTGGTTGGTTCTAGCAATACACATACATACTTATGGGAGGTAAGTACCATTCTAAGTATTCAATTTACATTTGGTCAACACAGATTGAACTGATATTTTTGGTTAGTAATTGTTGTTGGTATTAATATTAGTATATTAGCTAAGTCATGAAAATATGGTAGACTGTGATTTAGGCCTTAGTAGGGGTTATTTAGTTTCTTCATTATAAGTTCCCTAGTCTTGTATATATAGGCTCTTGTATAATGTAATTATGTGTGAATTAGGTGAACCTTTTAATATCATTTACATGGAATCAAAGCACAGCTTGTTCTGTGACTCCACCAAAGGTGGCTGTGACGTCAGACAAGCGCCCCTAGAGGCAGTGTCTCTGTAGGCATTCATGTGAGTTAGGTATATATAGTCTCTCGTATTAGAAATTTAGAACCCTTCTCTTGTATATTTGTAGGTACAAATGTTAGCATCCTTTTCTTGTACGCCTTTGTATTATGTAATTATGTGTGAATTAATTACACCTCTGATTATAAATGACATGAATAGTGGTTACTGGGTCTGTAGCTACATTTGCAGGAAACAGTGCTTTTGAATGTATGTACATCAAAACAGTTCAAATATATTTTGAAGAATACTGGTTCTTGTTTTACATCCTCATATACTCTACTTTATTACCATCATTTTGCAAAATATAAAATATAAAATTTTATTTAAATAACCGTCACTGCTTACATTATACTTCTGATTTCCTTCGTACTCTATATTTCTTAAACTTGGCATTTTTTCTTAAGTAAAACGGGACTAAGGAGATATATTAAATATCAACAGTTTGGAAAGGACAGAGCGACTGCTGCATATGGAGTGCTCCCTGCTACGAATGTCCATCCACCTTATGCCCTTGCATCAATATCTTCTGTGCAGTTTGACCATTGTGGTCAACGGTTTGCGACTGCTGCATCAGATGGTATGGTGTCAACATGGCAACTTGAAGTTGGAGGAAGGAGTAATATTCATCCAACTGAGTCCTCTATATGCTTCAAAAATTATACATCGTAAGTTGCCTCAAAGTATTTGAACTCACTTTATATCATTGAAACTTTTGTTAGTTCCAGTATATATATTTTTCCCCAACACTGGCCTTTTTTTAATTTATAGAATAACTTCGGAGATGACAGTGCCCAAGTTTCATTCCTTCAGTTTTTCCACTTCAAAGGGTCCAATATGTTTGTCTTTCATGAAGAGTTGTACTATTCGAGTTGATACTGGTTATTTGAACAATTAAGCAGTCCCTAATAGTCTGCCTTTTTATAGTACGATGGGAATTGGGAAATAAGAGGAATTAGAAATTGAAATACTATGTAGTTATTTGTTGGCCACTTTGACTGCACACAATTTGAGAAGATTTAGTCCAAGCATCTACATAGTCACAACATTTAACTAATGCCTCAGTTTTCAACTCTGACATTGCAACATCCATTCTCTGATTAATGGAACATGGAAATTTTTATTCTATATGTTCTGTAGAAGTACTAGTGACCATTGTTTTGGAAACACATCAAAATTGAATTATGGAAAAATAAAAAAGGGATGAAGGAATCTCGCCCCAAGTTCTTTTGCATGTCTTCTATCATTCCACCCTGGGTAAAGCTAACTTGTAAGGTTCTGTTCTTTTTATAGTTGTTTTCACATCTGTTCATCGTCAAGTGGAGGATTGTAAACACATGTTGTGGAATTCCTCAACTTCATTTTAAAAAATCAATAGATGGAACAATACTATTTTCGGAAGCAAACATGCATCTTTTCTTTCTCTTTTGTGGCATGATTTATGGCTCTTGCTGTAGGGATGTAACTTATGTTACTGCTAGTGGTTCTATCATAGCTGCTGCGGGGTATAGCTCCAGTGGGGTTAATGTTGTTGTATGGGATACACTTGCCCCCCCAGCTACATCTCAGGCATCCATAATGTGCCATGAAGGTTTGTTTCCTCTTTATTTTAGTGATACTTAGTGAGTGTTTCTCTATGCCGGTGCTTATTGACTTATTGCTTATAAACAGTTTTTTACTTATAAGCTACTTATAAGTTAAAAATTCTTGTGTAGATAAAATGACTAATGATATATTTGTGGAGATATTCATAATAGGTGAGGGATAGTCTTATAAGTAATTTGGTCAAAAGGGAGTAACAAAAAAATTGGCTTAAAAGTACTCCCTCCGTCCTAAAATTAACTTCTTAAATATTTTTTTTATATAAAATATAATTATATATAAATAGAGATATTCATGGTCAAAATGTTGCATTGGAGACCGTGAGAAGTCAAATGGGAAGTTAATTTTAGGACAGAGGGAGTAAGTAAGTAAGGCCTACTTGTTTTTACAGAGAAACACCCACTTAGTTTTTATTCCCAGAATTTTATGTGATTTATTGTTTACTCTCTCTGTCCCATAAGTATCTTCCTTCTTTCCTATTCGGGTTGTCCCAAAATTTTCTTCCTCTTTCTCTTTAAAGAAACAAATATGTGGTCCATATAAATTCTCTTTTCTCTACACAAACCATAACCACCCACATTCCACTTTATTACTAATCGTGCCAAGTCAAACCCGGAAGATAATTCTGGGGCGGAGCCACGGAGGGAGTATTAAGTACCAGCAAATGTTCCAAAGAACAATAAAAGCATGCATGTTGTCGGAGTTGGGATTATACTGGGTTAGTAACTTTTGTTGTTGTACAGCATGTATGTTGCAAAGTGCAAACGGTCATTTATCGAACAATTGAATTAGAAGTAAAATTGTCAACCCAAGATAACATCATGAAAAGGGAACTTCTGCAGGAGTGGATGAATTTAGAAGTACAAATATTTATCCACTTCTGAAAGTATACGTAGTAATTTTTTTTTGCATGCATACCATTGGACTCTTCCAAGGTAGCACCACATTCTGGAATGCTTATGGGCTCACTGAACAAAACTAAATTAGCTCATTGTGGGATGTTCCAGGTGGTGCACACTCTCTGTCGGTTTTTGATAATGATGTAGGAAGTGGGTCGATTTCTCCCCTTATTGTGACTGGTGGAAAAGGTGGTGATGTTGGACTCCATGATTTCCGTTACATAGCAACAGGGAGGGCAAAGAAACATAAGCACTCTGATACCAGTGAACAAAGTGTTCATTCCACGGCAGACATGCACAAGAAAAGTGGCGATCAGAATCGAAATGGTATGCTATGGTATATACCAAAGGCCCACACAGGTATTGCTACAATTGCTAGTGAGTGTATAAACTTTTAATACTTGTATTTGCACCCAACTAAGTGCTCAAATTACCCATTATCTTCTTTAGGGAGCATCACCAAAATATGCACTATACCAAACACTAGTTTTTTCTTGACGGGGAGCAAAGATGGAGATGCAAAACTTTGGGATGCAAAGAGAGCAAGGCTGGTATATCATTGGCCAAAACTGCATGAAAGACATACTTTCCTCCAGCCAACCTCCCGTGGCTTCGGTGGAGTCATTCGGGTAAAAGTTCATAATAAGAAATGGTTGGATGTGAACCGGGAAGCAACGTATTGTGATGTTTATGTTAGAACTGAAGGTATGTTTTTGAATGTAATCATGCAGGCTGGCATTACAGATATCCAAATTGTTTCTCATGGTTTTGTTTCGTGTGGCGGAGATGGTTCTGTTACGCTGGTTACAGTGAAAGAGGACATGAAACATGCACGGATACGGTGAAAGCAGTGATTAATGAATGCTTGTAGTTCAAGATGTACATGATGATTTGTTGGCGTTCAAGTTGTTGATAGGTTTTTGTAGTTGTTCCGTTCTGGAAATCATATTTCGGACGCGTCACACATCTGGAATCTGGTGTTGTAATTAATACTCCCTCAGTCCATAAGTTTTCTTCCTTACTCAAACTAAGAAAATGTAAAATATGTTTTGACTTTCCACATTTCCTCTTGGATAATTGAAAAAGTAAAATAAAGTGAATAGAAAAGGTAGTAATTAATAAGGAAAGTGGGAAGAAAATTTTATGGAGGGAGGACTATAACCGTAAATTAAGTCTGGCTTTAATTTTGTATTTAGATTGTGCATGTTCATATTAAAAAAAGGGATATGCTAGGGGTACCCCAAATGTACACCATCTTTAGCATTCATTTTATTTTATTTTGTTTTTAATTTTAATTTTTTTTTGAATTTTTCTTGCTTTTTTGTGTGTTGATGGAGGGGGTGGGGGATGTTTGGAGTACACTTTTGGTGTACCCCTAGCATTTTCCTAAAAAAATGAAGGGGTGGCGTACATTTAGTGTACCTCTAGCATTTTTGAAATTCCATTTCACTTTCTCAAGAAAAGGAAAATGTATTCACAATAATTTCACATTTAACTGGTCATTGAAAAAATCATCTCCCAATTTACTGTAATCAATAAATGTTCACATTTTAGGTCGCTACTAAAATATTCTCAAAAGTAGGAGTGGGCACAGCTTGAGACAATTTGCATTGAAAAATGCTAGGGTACACCAAAGGTGTACCCCAAATATCCCCCACCCCCTCTTTGTTCACTAAAAAAGGCAAAAAAATTCAAAAAAAAATAAGTAAATAAAAATCAAATAAAAATGTGTGGAGGAAAATAGGGTGGTGTACATTTGGGGTACACCTTTTGGTGTACCCCTAGCATTACTCATGAGCAATGCTAGGGGTACACCTACACCAAAGGTGTACCCCATTTGTCCCCCACCCCCTTCTCCACCACTCATTTTTATCTACTTTTTATTTATTTATTTATTTATTTTTAAATTCTTGCCCATTTATGTGGTAATGGAGGGGGTGGGGGACAAATGGGGTACACCTTTGGTGTACCCCTAGCATATTTCTTTTATATAATCTTGTGTCTTGTCCCATTTTTATCAAACGGTTCAGAACAGTGTAGGGCATAAGTTTATCACTCTTTGGGCTTGTTTATTTCACCTGATCTAAATAACTCTGAACTGATTGAAATAAGTTTTTATCTAATCTGGTATGATCTGAAGTAAACTCATTCCAATAAAAATAAATAATACGAAGTAAGTGATAAGAATAACTTGAAGAAAATATGATTTTTATCCCTTAATATTTGAGATTAGGATAAAACAAAACGACTTCAGATTATCCTTGTTTGCAATTTCTAAAATACGATATATAAATATAAAGTTCATAAAAGGAGGTAACCCATTTTGACTATGAGCCATAAATTAGAAAATCCAAACTTGAGCCATAAAGTTTCTTAAAAACTATGAGCCATAAATTTGAGTGGCACGGGTCGGAACGGTGTAGGTTTTTAGGTGTTGAATCTGAATTTTTTAAATATTTATCTTGGAAAAAATAAATTTTTTTATACAAGTACTTTTTTGTGTTATATCATTATATAAATAAATAAGTAAGTATATACAAACATACGAGATGAAGCAGGAAAAAAGTTATGTGTCCCAATCTCGTTTCATTCGAACGACTTTGTCATAAAAATATTTCAACCCAAACATAACGAAACATTATATAAACAAGGTCGTGATATTTTAGATCGGGACAATGAGATTGTGATTCTTGCCCACTCCTACTAAAAAAGAGCCCTGCTAAGTGTACCCAGGTGTACACTTGCCACAGACATACACAGACACCAACTGTCTGTGTGAAACACAAATAAGTGGTGTTTATGTGTGTCTGTGACAAGGTCACCTGGGGTACACCTAGATTTTTTCAAAAAAAAAAAAAATCTTTGAGTCATGCTAGGGGTACACTATATTTTTTAATTTCTTTACAACCTATCTCGATATGTAAACTTTTCTAAGTTTTTTTAGTATACATTTATATTATAGAAAGAAAAACGCGAGTATATCAAAAAACGTACCTCTAGTATAGTCTAAAGCCTATCCACCACATAATTCAAAAATATATTCCCAATATACACCATCCAACACTACACATTTATGCATGAGTGATAATAGATGGGTGATGTACATTTAAGTGTACCCCTAGCCTCCCCCATTGAATTTATATTTCAAAATTTAGTTGAGTTGATTGGGCCAGCCCATTTACTCATTACCCAGGTGGCGCATCGTCCCCCTCCCACCCTGCTGAATCCTTCCGGATCGACTTTTTTTGGAATTGGGGGAGAAGTGTGGAGAAGTAGCGAGAAGTGAATTGAGGAGACGCAGAAGATGGGAGTGATGGATAAATTGAAAGTATTTGTTGTCCAAGAACCTGTTGTCGCTGTTTCTTGCCTCCTGGCTGGCGTTGGTAAGATCGATCCTTCTCTTCCTTTTGTGTTCTTCTTGAAAGCAGATTATCCTGTTGATGTATACATGTCTGATTGCTACAATAAACTTACTATGTCATATGCTTTAAATTCGAAACAAAACATAATTGTTTTCGGTTTGTATCCTTAAGTTTCCGGTTATTGTGCAGAGGATTCTACCCTTATTCATTTTAGGGTTACCATGACTTGCTTAGCTGTTCTATTTGATTTTGCCTGAGACTCGTGTAATGATTTGACCCGGATGCTTTTTAAATGAACTGGTATTTACTTATTTTCATGGCCAGGGTTGACATGCCGACCTATATATGAGCTACTATGAAACCAGAAAGCTTTTATGTTCGATGCTTCTTAACAGAATCATGTCACATTCCTTTGAATTATCATTTGATTGGGTGTATGATTAGGCTTTTATTTAGTGAAATGTGCACATAGTCGACTTATCTTTACTTTGCGTTCAAGCTCAAATCAAAGTGTTACTGTTGTACAAACTGCTAAAGTGCTATGCTACATGAAAAAAAAACCTAAATGTTATGTTTGAAAATGATAATTGATTAGTTTTTAAAGCAAATGGTATAACAAAAAATAGCATTTAAATTTGGAAAAGTACAAGCTTTTTTACTCGTTATCCATCATTTGTACATTTCACCGTACATTTTTCAGTTTTAAAACCAACTTTTTTGTTGGTGAACTTCATTCGGTTTGTTCCTTGAAACATGATTTATTCTTGGGTAATCTATCTTTCAAATATGAAACTTCTATGGAGTACTCTGCAGTGTAGTATTCAATCCTAATATCCTTTATTCTCAGTGTCATCATTGACTAAATTGATCAACTCATATTCAATTCTCCATTTTCAATTAAACATATCAATGATATCATAACTTTCATCCGATTAACAAACCAATCTTTGTATGAATAAAACCAAATTTAAAATCATTTCCTCAATGGTCAATGGATTCCCTGTTATTTCACATTTTGCAAAGTACAAACTTTACATTGCTAGTGTTTGGACCATTTGAGGGATTAAGCTTGAAAAAGAGTGCACAATTGCTAAAATGTTCTTGTTAAGTTTTTCTATTGGAAAGCATTGGATTTTTGTTTAAAGTGTGAAAATGTTTCTTTTCCAGATGTGTTTAAAGTGTGAAAATGTTTCTTTTCCAGATGTGTCGTACTCTAAAGCACATTAATCCTCGCAAGTAGACACTTATTCTCTTTAGTTTCATCACAGCAAAGCTGGAATTTCTAATTATACAGAATTTGAAACAACAAGATATGGGTTATACTCGCTGCTAGTTTCGTCTTTAATGGTGACATTATGCTCTTTTCCATATTGCTATCTAACCATAGCACTCAGCTAGAATTATCTGTTAGTGTCTAATATTATGCTTATATGTGATCATTACTTGATCTTTGATATCTCTGTCCCCTGTTTCCTCCCCTTTCTTCTGCCCTTTTAATCTGCAATGATTTAGAAGAAGGCCTTATTTGTCTAGCTTTTGTGCTTTGACAAATTCAGGGCTCTTTCTTCCAGCCGTGGTAAGGCCCATACTAGACTCTTTCGAATCATCAAAACAAGTTCCTCAACCTGCTCTCACTGATGTAAGTAGATCGCTTGTTAAGTACTTATATTGTGGTGAATTGGTTATACACGTTGAAGGGTGTCACTCTATGAAGAATAACTGTTTTCTGTATTCATCTTGTGGAGTCAAGCCCCGTATATATACAAAGTTATCGGTCTCCTAACTATGGTAGAATACAAACAAGGAAATCCTATACAAAGGAAACTACCATATATAAATATATTAAATATACAATAATATATTTAACATGCTACCAACTACGTGACGGGCGATGGGCGGATGCCCAGACTGTGCCTGAAGTCGGAGAAGAGGAGAGAAGGTAGCCCTTTGGTAAAGATGTCGGCATACTGGGAAGAAGAGGGAACATGGAGAACACGGACCTGTCCGAGAGCAACCTTGTCCCTGACAAAGTGTATGTCAACCTCTACATGTTTCGTGCGCTGATGCTGTACTGGGTTGGTCGATAGATACACTGCACTAACATTGTCACAGAAGACCAGAGTGGTGC